AGGGGTGTGTTTTGTGAAGACAACACATAAGAGGAAGGAAGGGTGTAGCTGCAGTAGTGGTTTCTACACCTCCCTCCCCCATTCTTTGGTCAGAAACAAGGTGGGGTAACACAACAGCCTCCAACCTGGCTGCTGGAATGGCCCTTTGGGGGCTGCAAGAGCCTGGACACATCACAGCAGCTTCAGCTTCTGGTGGAAGAGATGGTGCAAAACTCTGCAAAGGTGGCATGAAAAAAACCTCTTTTAGGGAACTGCATAACCTGTGCCTCATTGTCCAGCAGATTTGGGAGAATCGAAGCTCTGGAAGTGGAGGGAGCATCCCTGCCCCTTACAGTTTTGAGCAGGTGCTGTGACCCCTCAGTGGCTGCTCAGCAGAGCCTAAGCAAGAGTGTGACACTCAGCTGGGCCTGTGACCACCGTGCTGGCAGGAGAAGAGCCAAACCCTCCGGCTCTTCTCGGGGTGTGACCCAGCCCGCACGCGATTTTGCAGCGAGAAGTGACAAATCAACCCAAAACACACCACCGAAACATCACCGCTAGAGGGCGCGCACGGACAGGCAACGGGGCGCTGACCAAGCCCGTAGCGGCAGCGGAAACGTCACGTTACCAAGTGTTACATTAGATTACGTTATGTTATATTACGTTATGTTACATTCTGCTATATATTATATATGACGTCATGTTGTGTTATCAATTTAATGATTTATATCATCTTTTTAATTATCTAAATGATACATATTAAAATGCTATAATTTATTCTTTTAATCTTTATTAACAAATTAAGCAAATGGGCATACAGATGCTAATACATTTAATGTACGTTGTATTTTATATATTAGTGGCTGGAAAGTATCTGGTCTCTACTTAAATATACATATATAACTAAAAATTACACAGTAATTTTAGGACTGATGTAATGTAATGAATTGTATATGCTTATGTGTAAGTTGCTGTTAAACTAGTTCTAATGGCTGTATATACATAGATATCCACACAGAAATACACACACACACACACTCCCTTTGTATACATAAATATATATACACAGGCACACACTCACATAAATACACACACACATTGCCCCAGTTACACACACATGCACACACACACAAATACACACGCACACACAAATACACCCCTTATACAAATACACTTCCCATTATATAGACACACACATATACGCACAAATACAGACATAAGTCTCCACACATATAGCCCCCTGTTCCCATACACACATGTACATATACACACACATACACACACACACACGCACACCCCCTCTTTATATACAAATACACACACAGGGTGCATTTTTGGTTTTCTGGCTTGAAGGTGCTAGAAGGGTTATCTTCTCTAATGTGCTAACTACTGTTTTGACACCTGATTAAAAAACGGATCCTTGGATGTCAGAAATGCTGATTCTGCCACCAAAAAATCCCATTCGAGCTTTGGAGCCTACAGAAAGTTTCGTAATGGAGCCTGCCCAGCCGGCACTATCCCAGGGTGGAAAACAAACAAAGTCACACTTGACTCAGCAGTGAGATTCTCAGAAGCTTTAATGGCTGCCCACTACAAAAACTGTGTACATGTTTTATCTATTATTTCCATATATATATTTATTCCATTTTACCCTAATGATTTTGTTTTTATGAATAGGAGAACAAGATTTGTTTTAATATACTATAGCCCCCACCTGCCCCAAACACAGCCCTTTCCCATGTCTGCCCACTTCAATATCCCCTTTCCTGCTCCCATCTACTTCCCTTCCTCTCCCCCTGTCTCAGATCTGCAAGTGTGACTGGCAGGCCTGCCATGTGCTGTGATCTCTGCAGACAGGCCAGCAAGCGCTCACAGTTGTGGTTTGGGCTCTTGGATTTTGCCTTTTGCAATAAGGAGGAGGTTGTGTATCTTCCAGATGCTGTACTAAGCCCTGTGTGTGCATCAAGCAAACACCATTTCAATGTACAGAGAGACACAAAAGAGACAAGAGACAAAAATAAAATTAGAAATTTGCACTGAATATTTATTTTGATAAACATTGTGTACTCCAAACAACTACGTGTTATTTCAGTTGTAAGCCACAATCTGTTGGAACCAATGTCCCAAGAGCTCTTGTCATCATCACCCAGACAGTCAATGCATTACCACGGTCTGCGGACATAGAGAGCTTTCAAGTGCAAAGCAGATTATCAGAAAAGACATATTGCCAACCTCCTTAACAACCTGGACAATGCTAAACTCCAGTAAAAATGCTTCATATGTCTGCAATATAGTTGTCTTAGTGCCATTGTAATAAATTAATAGAAAATATATCTTTTTTTTTTCATTGGAAAGTCTATAAGAAAATGTACAAACTCCTAACTCCGAAAAAGGACCAGCTGTTTCGGCGACAGGTAAAACAAGCATTCAAACACAGGCAAAACCCCCAAACATCCAAACAAACAAATACACAAACAAACAAATTGCAAACAACCACCCCCCCCACTCTACCAATGGCAATTGCGTAGGCAAACATAGAAACATCTGCAGTAATAAAAACTTACAAAGAGGGGAACTGCAGCTTGTGCAGGGACTGTACAAGGTGTACAGAGAACAAGCAGTCAGGTAATTTACTAGTCAAAATGTGCATGTGCAATTCCTAGAATAGTCAAAGATTAAAAAGTAATCCTATGGCACAAAACTATTGCTGACTGGTGACGGTGGTAGGCTTCATTCTGTCTTCAGAGCAACACATTGACTTCATCCCATAAGGACCAACGGAAGCCCTCTGCATTTCCCAGCTGTGACTGCCCCACTATGATGCTCTATTGTCCCTCATGCTTACAGACTGCAGTGATCCCGTACTCCGTATTCACAGCGTGAGACCCACCTTAGCTCCAACAGGCCCCATGTGACAAGATTTGCATGATAGAACAAGCCACTTAAAAGTTTTCTTCTTTGAATAAGATGAGATTTTATTTTAGGAAAGAAAAATAAAAAAGTTTTTCCTAGAGCCAAGTCTTATGATTTCACCCTGAGAATACCCGAAATAGTAAAATCAGATGCTACACTTCATGAAGGCAGCATGCCACAGGAGCTGAATAAACCTGCCTAGGGAATAGAGCCACCTGGTATAATCCTCCCAGGGAATTAATGCGCTTACAGGGAGCAGGAGAAGAGAAACAGCTGATGGCCCAGTGAAGCAGGACACCACAGAGGGCAAGCCGTACCCTACGTGTCATACAAAGCCGTATCCCAACCCAGGTATATTCTGAGGCTGGCTTTTCTGCCCACCCACCATTTTTTCAAGTGCTCATGAAAGAAATACTCCTGCTTTGGTCCATCTTTTGGGAGCAAGCGTGTTCCGCTAACACCAGTGCAATGGTATCAACAGAATTGCCTAAGGACAGTGAAGAGGTTTAAACAACTCAAATTAACGTACTCAAGGAACTTGGGTTTAGTCTATTTGCTCGAATTCAGGGACCTAACTCTGTTTGCCTTCGGAGGAAAAAACAACTCGCTTTACTTGACTTTTACAAGTGTTGCCCATCCGTTCTGGAAACAGCACAAATGCCTGAAGAGCCTTCATGGACAGATTCTTGTCGAGAAGTAAGGGAGGGAAAGCTTAGCTCTTCTCCTAAATACAACGCACATGACATTCAGTGAGTTCAGAACAACTATAGAATTAGGCTGAAAAGAACATTTCCAGTTTCAAAACCCAGGAGAGGCTTGAGGGGAATGTAACTTACAATACTATATCAATTTCGCTCAGGGCTGCTTTGACTTTCAGAGCAATTTATCCAAACCAGGTTTACAGATTGCAAACCTGATGAGCCTTTGGAATGACACAAAATCCTTGTTCTTTCATGCTAGCTGCAAGATAATATTTTGGATACTGTGGGAAAAAGGCAACTTAATTACATGAATTCATTAAACCACAGCAAAATGAAGTAACCATCAGCAACTAGAACGAATTTTGTACCAATGGGGACAGACAGAGACAAAGGGGGAAAACAAACCCAGATATTATTGGCAAAACTGATATTCTGTGTGCTTTGAAAAGCTCGACATCCTGTCTTTTACCCCCACCCTTACATTTCTTACAATAGCCACAGCCCTCAGAGACACCTTCATGGCATTTCTGAGCCACAGACAGAAATATCACTGAACACCAGAACTGCTTACAGTGTTTTACAAAATAATATATAAATTCGCAGCTTCAATAGATGTCCCCATGGGAGTTCTGATCCACGCTAATCTGCCTTCATTATCCAGATACTGCTTTGAAGAAGGGGAAAACGATGTACAAACATCAAACTAGTGTATGGGGATTCCCACTCTGATTCTTCAGCTGCCTGGTAAAACCTCGGCCACCTTCCATCCAGATCTCTTGTAACCCTTCCAGCAGGACCAAGACACTCATACCCATAAGCCTAAGGACAGGAACAGAAAGCAACGCACAGGAGAGTGGTCTGGTCCTATTCCCTCTGACCTCCCTGGAAAAGCGAGGGTTGCTCACCCTATCTGAGGCTGAATAAGGTAAGTCCCAGTGTTCCCAATTAAAAACTGGAAGCCTGGAACAGGATGGCTTTGACTGGCTACCACAAACACTCCAGACTGATCCTGAATATTATTATATGTAGGGACAATATGGGAAAAGCTGAGAAAATACATGTGCAAATTGACTTTGCTTTCCTGCTGCTTTTTGAAGGAAAACATCTTATTTGAGCAACCACTGTTAAAAACCTTGATCCATAGGAGAAATATGATTATCTGAGCAAGCAGAAATATGTGGTTTCATCAGTTTCCACTGGCAAGTTTTACCCGCTCCTCTCTCATTTCTTCCCCAACTATGTGCCGTGGGTTAGCATGTTCAATACAGATCCCAAAAAGCATGATCAAACATCACAGAAGCTTTAGGATAAATTCTTACTGTCCAGTTATGCTTCCCAGTGTCTAAGTCATAATTCAAATATACTCTTTCTATCTTAGATTTTCAACCAATCTTTAAACTGGCAGCTAATTACACTAGCTAGCACAAGTTACACTAGGAATAAAAAGTGTTTGGACAACTTAGAGGCTGGTAAAATCAACAATCCTTGATGGCCTTTAGACCTAGAACTCCCCTTTCGAGAGGCAGCACATAAATTAATCTGTCACAGGGGTGCTGACAAAACCAGTACCTTGTAAACCAGATCAAACCTTGCTTAGTAACACAAGAGTCAACACGGCATCAGTGAGCAAGTCAACCGGCGAGGAGCTGGTGATCACAGAACGTACACTGATCACAGAGGAAGGCTTGTCTGTCACATGTGGCCACTCTAGCTACAGTAAGGTTTCATTTTGAACAGCAACAACAACAACAACAAAACGCTACACCTCTGGAGCAGGCTGGCGAGGTGCCTGCGGCGAGCAGTCAGTAGTCCATCCCACGGGGCAGTGCTGGCAGCCAGAAGGCAGAGCAGTGTGTCCTCATAATTTCATTTTCTTCACCACAGGAATTGGCAGTGCTTGATAGATTTTAGCCGAGTCCTCATTAGTGACCAGCTTCACCCATACTGGGCGGAAGCTGCCTTTGAAGCCGACAAAAGCCATTTTTTCTGCAAATCAGAGCAAATAGATTAGGGATGTGTCAGAGCTGCACCAGAAAACCACCTGTGTGTACGGCTACAGCCGATAGCTGGATGGGAGCACGTGCACAGGAGCATACAAATGCACACGAACTTTGCCAGTTATAAATTCTCTAGGTTTTATACTTTCCTAATGAAGCTTAATTAAATTTTTATTTACATGTTATATGCTTCCCTTAATTAACAATGTGTGGTACATAGCAGAAGAGAAAGAGAGCGTGAAAAAACCCTTCCTAGCAAGCAGCTTGAGCTATCTATTGAAGGTATCATTATTGGCATGGTGGTTATACTCAAAACCTGCTTGGGAAAGGTTAGGGGATGATAAGGGACAGAACAACAGGCAATACCTAAGTTAGCAAGTAAAACACACACACACACACACACACAGGACAGCGTGACAAAAGCTCACAGTTAAGAGCTGATCAGAGCAACACACACATAAAGCATTATTTTAGTGAAATATGTGATGCTTTGAAAACACTATGCTTTGTGCCATCAAGTCAGAATTTTGTTTCAAGAGAAAACCAGCTAAAAATAAGTTCGGACAAGTAAAAAATCGTGTTTTGGGGCATTTAGGAGGAAAAAAGTCCAATATTCCTATTATTAAAATGCCTTTTTATTTAAAATATATCTGGAAAATCAAACACCTGAATTCTTTACTTATAAGAACAACTGCCAGAGCACTTTTTCCATCTACAGCGTTAAATTGAGCGCTGTTATCCAAAGCGGCAGTGGGTACAACCTTACCGAATAAATAAATGACTGGTCCCAGGATGTTTGAGCACATGCTGATAGAAACAAGCAAGGCAAAGTTTAGAAGCAGAAAAGAGGTCCCTTTGCTGGAACCATGGGAGGGGAATAGATCAAAGGGGTTTAGAACTGCAGTTTTGAAAAGTGGTTACCTTTTAATCTAAACCCCTCTTCTGCTCCGAGTTTTTCCAGTACTTTAGTCCATGGTCCTCTTGAAATGAATCTTCCTTTAGATGTCATCAGCACGATGGAGCTGAAAGAAACAAAGCTATTTATAAACAGATGAAGAGTCACAACACTTTCCTCGGTTGTCTGCCTTAAGCACTGGTAACTCCTGCCTGTGTGACTCAAAGACACCCACAAATTACAGTGGCTTCTGCTTCAATGGCTTTTGACAAAGCTTTCTAACAGTTTAGTCATATAAACCCATCAGAAAGCAGAGAGAATTGCTTTTTTTAAAAAAAAAAAGAAAAAAAATCCCACTGTTTTCTAGAATTATTTAAATGTTTCCAACCAGCAATTCCATCCTGCTTTGCTCAGAAATGAACATGCTCTCCCTCGCATGCTCTTAGTAAGTCTCAAGTAACCTCTTGTTCTTTCAGCAGCAGCAGATTAAACATGAAGAAATTAACTTCTTTAAGACTTTTTGCTGGCTTGATGCTTTTCCTTCATTTTCATTGGACTTCTGCTTACAAATTTTATTATTTTTATTATTTTATTATTATTACTACTAATAATACCTATTACTGTTTTACTTGCATGTACTGTATTTCACCTCAAAATTCTTGGGGTTCTCTACAAATACCAAGTGATAAGCAAAAACCATAGGGTAGTGCATCAAGCTAATGCAAATCTGTAGTTGCTTGGGTAAGACTTAGTAACTGCCTAAGCTTAATTCTAGCTGGATAGCATAAAACCCCAAATCAAAAATGAAGAGATAATCATGTAGTGAGACTTTTTTTGGGGGGACCACAAGATACTCAGTGAAGTTAAGCTCATTACTTCCAACAAAATACATAAACACCTCTAATGAGTAGTTCAAAGGCCATGGAGGAAGAGCTACACTCCAGTGTGTGCAGTGGAGTTTTGATGTTAAGTGCAGTTAAGTCATCTTTGTTCACCTCCTAGTTAAAGCTGCATGACACTTACTGAGCAAACACTTGCTTAGGTGAATTATTTCATTCCACCTCGCAGGGTTTCCATGAACAAAACTTCCCTGACTCAAATGGCATTTGCAATCCTACAGAATGAGAGCCTTGCTGGGTCTGCTTTCCAGCTTCACAGTGGACACAAGTCACTATATTTAATTAGGCAACAACTCCTGCAGAGCTCAAGCCCTGAGCGCAGCAGTTACCTCTTAACACCTCAGCTGGAACTAGAACTGTTCAGGGATAAATAGCAACGGGTGGCAGTAGAGGAAGAAGAGAAGCAAAAGAGTTAAGAATCATCAGGACTTTTCCTCGAATAAACCTGAGGTGTTAAAATGCTCCCATGCTTACAAGAGCGACAGGCTGGTTTTGACTACTTTGCAAATGCTGAATCACCTTTGTCTGATTCCTTCAGTTCACTAAAATCATTGCTTTCTGTTAAACCTTTCTTGCTATGGAAGTTTAAAATAAATTCCAGATGTTTTGGGGTTTTATCCCTGAGAAACTCATCAGAATAATAGACTTATTAAAAACAAAAAAAGGAATTTGGCCCATAAAGGGCTGCTTAAATGACTGAACAGGCTTGTCATTGCTGGAAACACCTTGCATCCCCAAATCCATACATCTGAAAGTTGCTTTAGCAGTCTCTTCACAGGAGGCTGATAAGGTGGTGGGGCTCCTTCCCCTCTGTTAGCACCACCTCTGTACAGTCCATGCTCCGCGTGGCACTGGGAAAGGTGACAAGAGGCTGCTGGTTGTACAGTCCTCCGCATCTGAATCCAAACAACACCTGCATCCAGCAAATGGACGAAAGATGCTTTATGGCTGTAGCTGAAGCTCACCCGTGACCAAATTGGAAAAAGCCTGCAGGGATTGGTCTGGGTGAAAGAAGTCTTTTGGTGAAAGAAGAACAGTAATTTATGGGTTCAGTCAGAGACACAGCTGAGAGAGACCTGAGAGGTGCTAATCATGTTGGGTCAATTTCTGCTCATAATCCTAATCCTGTTCTAACACTAATTCAGAGAAGACAATGAGGCTCAGAAAGACTTGAATACACCTAAACACTAATTACAATTCAATCTTCTACAGTAAGAAGAAGACAGAAGCTGGATTTAGACAGGATTGAGATGGGATTTTTGCAAAGGGGAGGTTGGTTTCTCTGAAAAGCCCTTTGGTATTTTTTATGAAAGAAAAGTGAGCAACTACCATGCTTTCCTGCAGTAGCTACTCAGTGTGGGTTTTGCAATCTTCAGAATTACTTGAGACGGAAGACATACATCTGTGTCCACCTGCATGGCACTATGCTGAAGTTTCCCCAAGCCTCTAAAATAAATACCAGAACAATATCCTTCTTATCTGCCCACAGCTGTTTCAGATAATTCATCAACAAAGCAATCATGCTGGTATTGCATGTTATGTATAAAACCAGGTTTAATAACAATGAAATATATTCATTTCCAAATAGCACTCCACAAACAAATACAAGAACAACCCCTTTGGTTAAATGGTTTTTGATGTTGTTCTCATTCCGGCACATGAAGCTGCTGTCCTCCAGGATGAAGGAACATGTGTTGGCTACTTACCACCCACTTGCAAAACTGTATTTCTGGCTCCCCAGAAGTAAAGAATAAAAGCATCCAGCCCTTAGGTCTGGGCAGGGAACATGTGCAACGAGGAATGTATTTTATTAGCGGAATTTGCTATGATTTGGGAGAGCATGCAGGCAACAGAAATATGTAAACTGTGCACATCTGTCCCAGTAAGCACTTGGTGAATTTAAGTCTGCAGTTTGTTTATAACCCACAACATAAATGTAGGTCTGCAGTTTATTAATCAAATGTAGCTCTGTGGTTTATCTAGGCTTGATCAGTTCCTAAATCACAGATCCTGCTTCCTGATTGTCCTCCTCACATTTGGACTCTTGGAGTTGACAGGTACAAAAGGACATTGTTAGCCCGGTCAGTCTGGCCCATGTTGGGTGACAAAAAATAGGAAAAAGAGTGTTTTACAGCATTCTTGTACATTGCACCTTAGGAACACCAGGTTATTTACTCACTGGTCTTTGATGTTGTTGACATAATTTTCTATCTGTGCTGGGATTCCTTGTAGAATTGAGTTTTTGACTGTTGCTCGATCAACAACTTTTCCATGATGACCATCAATCACAACCAGTTGGATACCTTCATCAGTGAGGAAAAACCTGACACCGTCAACCTGCGTAGGGGAAAAGATACTCCTGATCTATCATAGTTACACAATTGCAAACAACCACCTGCAAGAAACAGTGATAGACTTGAGTCAGAATTCCAGAGGGCAGAATTCCAGAGTTTTGAGGTCAAGCTGTCCTGTATTTTTAATAGCAAGTGGAAGTTACAGCCCTATCTGGTCTTTTGCAAAATACAAAGCAGAAGTGATCTGAATCTAACTATCCATGGTGACTTTGTAAGCAGGTTTTCCATAACAACGAAGCGAGTATCTTAGAACTTTGTCCTGTATAGTTTACAAAGAGGACCTTGCTCACCTCAATGTATGCAAAGTCATCCTTTAGGTGGAAGTACTGTTTCTTATAAGTTTCTATTTTCACTTCTAGTAGGTGGTCCTTAGTCTTCTGTTTACAAAAAAAAAAAAAAAAACAAAAAAAGAGAGATAAGAGTTTTTCTGGTGAGGATGTCCATTACTGTCCATTACCTGAACGTTGCACCTCAGAAAGCATTTTAAACCCTGAAATTCAATCAACAAAAAGCTACATAATAAGCCCTGACTTGCCAAATTACATTGCTAATGAGACTGGGCACCACAGTAACCTCTCTGCTCATCCTGTCATCATTTAAATTGTTTTACCAAGTGGCGGTCTGTAAGTGATTCTCACCTTTCAGAGCTGACACAAAACTCTCTGAGGCTTTGCTGTACATTTCTGCTCCAAGGGTGACAAGTGGAAGAAAAAGAACCCAAGCCAGATAAATATCGCCCTCCCTCCCCCAGAACCAGACTCTACTGGATATAAGAAACAGTGGTGTGCATTATATGAACGAGACACTCAACTATGCTGTCCGCTCTCTGACACTGCTGCTTTTATAGCCTGGAGGAACTGGAGGCCAGACAAGGAACCTTGTTTCAATCCAGAATCACATTCCCTGGACCAACCTGTCTTCCAGCTCATCACTTTTGACTCTGTGCTTTTAAACACAGCACAGCACAACAGAGTCTTGGGTGGTTCTGTCCTTTGACGACCTGTGCTCTCTGCACATGCAAGAATCTGTTTCATACTCTTTCACATGCCTGAACCATTTCAGGAAATTAGGCATAGGTTATCCTGAACCTGGCACAAAGTCCTTCTATGTCTGTGGGCACAATATGTGCCAGAACTACAGATTTACACTGGCAATAATTCTGTGATAAGAAATCAACTACTTTACCAGCTGTGCACTAGAGAGCTTCTTAGGCATTGGCACTTCCACTATTGGTGTCTCAATGTACTTCGGATAGGCCATGGCTTCACAGTCACTGATGCCAGCCGTCTTTGGGATCACAGCTTTGATCCTTATTCGTTCACAGCCCTTGACAGAGCAGAAAGCAAATTTCTCCTTCTCATTTTGAGATTTAAGTTTCAGAAACAGCAGCCTGCAGGTAGGAGAGAAAAGATAGAAGCATTCTTGAGACTTCTGTGCAAAAATTACCAGCTCCCAGTTTTGGTGACTCCTTACTAATGCCCTGCAATAATGTGCATTGCAAACCCTCAGTGCCAACATCCACATTTTATAGTTCTCAACATACCACATGCAAGTAGAAGGGGACACATCTCAGAAACAGTTTGAGGAGGTCAGGGAACTTAAGACAGAAATGACACCTGAACTCCCCTTGTAATGATACATTTGTGTAGAAGTAAATGCTTTGTATTTTAGGTCTGTCTTTCTTTCCCATCATTTTAATCCTTTAAAAGAAAATAACAGGCTTCACACTCTTAGGTTCTGTGCATCCCTGTCGTGGTGTTTATAAATCATTGCTGTTCAAAACAGAAAGGGGTGGGTGTATCTCCAGCTTGGTTTCATGGTCTACACTTTGCTTTTGTCTTTTTTTTCTAATTCTTATTCACTTGGCAAAGCATTTCCCACAGTAACTGGCACTGCAGCACAGGCTGTGAGTGACTGGCAGCCATGTGAGTCCCAGGAAAATTAAGCCCTGGTCACATTCCCAGAAAGACTTTCTGGTTTTGCTGTGGTCCCTATTAATGGCATTAGACAAACAGCTCATGAGTCCAGCAGCTTTGCCATAGCAGTGTGCCCATTGGCAAGGCCTGCTTCCTTACCCAGTGTCTTCATCCCAATAGTAATATCCTTTGTTAGGGTATCTGTGCTCCAGTTTCTCCATTTGAGAGGTTCTGTAGAAGGTTCCAGTTTTGTATGTTTTCTTCAAGAGACGATTGTGGATGTCTGAGAGAATGGAAAATGTTGTCCCTTTAGGATAGCAAAACCCTACTTGGATCCAGTCATTCCTAAAAATAGCAAAGACCCACATTATAACAAGTCTACACATGACTATTATTTTCCTGAGCATGCTAGAAGCCAAACTACATAATTCATTCTGAAATGTAACTTATTTTTTTTTTTCCTGGCCAGTTAAAATTGTAGTGGTTTGGGATGAATCTATGCAATATAAATTAGACATAGCAGCCATGGGTTGGATCTGCCTCTGACTCCTACACCTGTGACTTCCGTGCACCAGGATTGAATTAGCTCTAGGCTTCTAAAAATGAACCATGTTATCTCGAAGGGCTTCCCAGAGGAGGAAACAGGAATCTGGGATGTCAAATGGAAAGATGGTGAACTCAATGGACTTCCTGGAACAAGCATGTTCATTCTGGAAGAGCTCATGAGGTGATAACCTCACCCATTAAAAATGTACAGTTACATTACTGGCCTGGAATGTTGGAAATAGGTCAGATCACTCACTTGTTGAAGTTGATGAGCCATATGGCCAGCTCTTCAGGGGCTGTCTTGTCCCAGTGGATAGTGTAGCCTTTCCTCAGAGTTATAACTGGCTGATACTGCTGGTAATGAGTGCTTTTGCTTAAAGCCCCTTCCAAGTAGAGTGGGTGATTGTGGTAGTCATTTTTAATTATTTTCATTTTCAGGTTGGCTGGTTTGTAGGCTTGGATGTATATCTAGGTGAAAAAACACATCACCAAGGCTTTAATGAACTGCAGCAAAGCATTAAAGGCGCAGCCACTCCATAAATGTGAACTGGTGCAAAGCCTGTGGCTTCAGCAGTGACTTGTATGCCGTACACTTATATTCAATTTTTTAGGCTCCCTTTTCAACAAAGCAAACTGTTTTCAGAAAAACAAGAAGGATCTTTTCCTCATCCACTGAGTTGCAGAGTGTGGGCCAGTCAAAGAGGCCTGCAGTAGGGATGAAGTATTTCAGTGTTAGTGGCAACCCTCAGCAGCGGGACAGTATCTGCCTCAGACATCTGACTTCTGCTGAACAAAGACCCTTCTGTCTGGATTTCAGAAACATGAAAACCAGCCCAGTGGTTGGAAATCGGCTTTAGTGGCACTACACAGGGAAAAAACCCAACAGTTGCAACACCCAAGACAAAAACAAGCACTACTCAGAGGAAAGTGAGGACTCTCTCAAGGCAGCAGCATTCGGAGCCTGTGCAGTAGGAAGAATGGTTCGGTGGTTACACAACAGGATGAAAGATCATGACAGCCAAAGTCTAATTTTGACTGCTCAGCACATTTCCCACCACACTGTGGGTAACACTTCCCTCCTTAAATCAAGGAAAAATAACTAGCTGACAGCCCATAGATTTATGAATATTAATCTGTTAATGCTCATGGAGCTCGTAAGGGAGTTCAGGCAGAAGTTGTTAGCGCTGTTAGCAGTCAAGGCCAAAGCATCTGAAAATTTACCACAGTATCCTCATGTTCAAAACCACCTGTGCAGACAAACACACACTGAGCACCCTGAAGAAAGGCCCTGTCTAAAGGTTAAGCTTTACAGTGCCAAATTTAAAATAAAGGGATAACAATATTTGCAAGATAAGCAGCTTTACCTGTGCAAAGTGTCCACTGCAGATGGAACCTCTCCAGTCAGGCACGTCAATGCAGTCAGGGTGCTTGATTAGCCAGTTATCTTCTTTTATCAGATATGAGCCTGGATACTCTGATACAGAACCATCCACATCATGAAAAACTGATGTTTTATCACCATCCATATCCAGACCATTGAACCAGGGGCCGGGTTCTCCAAAGAAGACCCTTGAGGTAATCTAAACAAAACAGCAAAATACATTTACATCTCCACAAATGAATTCATCACTTAGAGTACACAGCAAAGGATGGTTGTGGTCACTAGAGTGGCTCAAAGGACCCTTTTTCTGACTTTATTTGGCACTGAAAAGTAGCTTGGACAAGAAATAGTGTTGAGTTTCTGTGTCAACTTGTGCATGAAGAAATCTGTGTATGCACTAACATCACCACTCTTTAAATGGCCACAGATTCTAGATGCTCAGCTTTGAGACATTGTAGGCTTGATGTTCAATGGCTCAACCCCACGACTCCAGATAAAGCTGGGGTTGTAAGTCTTCTGAGATAGCACTTATGTGGTAATAAAACGAAATTCTGAAAATGACCATCCAAAGATGGAAGCACCAAAATAATTTTCAACTGAACTGAGCTGGTCTTGTTAGCTGGCTGGAACATCAGTGCTGTTTGGTACAGGCATATTAGGATTGTCTCTGCCTGCATGCTGTCTCTTTGTTAAGCCTTAAGTCAGTGTAGAGCTGGGTCACACACTTAAAAGGTGTGTTTGATTTGTCAGACAGAGCAGACACAGGTTTCCCTTCTGACTATGTGGGACAGGGTGAAATAAACAGTATTTCAGCCTCAGCTATGAGGTTTGTTTTAAAATTCTGGAGGAAGGTTCAGGAAAGGGCATGATTTCACTACAGCCACTTCACACATTGTCTCCCAATATATTTTTAAGGTTCTAAAGCCACACAAACCCACAATGATTCTGGGAATAATCAGTAACCTCCCGTGGGAAATGGCTGCTGAAGCAACTTCTGAATGATATTTTTATCCAGCATAAATAAATGTCATGTCACCAGCCTGCCTGGTGCAATGTGAGAGAAGGACCAACAAAAACTTCTAGGGGAATTTTGCCTTTCCCATCCCATTTGGCACAGGGATTGCTAGTCAGCACTTTTCCTGACATTGAAGCAAGTCTGCTAATTATAAAGTTAAGCAGCCCAAATCATTTCAGGCCCAACCACATGTATTTATTTATTTGTTTTCAATGTTTGGCAGTTGGATTTACAGCTACTAGGGGTGAACCTCAGCAAACCAGTTAGGACATATCTGTGCAATCAAATACAAAAATAACTCAAAAACACAGACCCCAGGACAGGTTCAGACCAGCACCAAGAAGTTCATATTGTAACTCAAAGTTTGGCAGACCCTTCTTGGTTGGGCTCCGCTCTCACTTATGTCTGAGAACTGGAGGCCATGGAATTACCCTGGTGTGCAGAGATGCAGAACTACTCTGTATCGGCTCAGTTTCACTGGCTGTTTCCAAAAAGCATTTCAGCTTCTAGGTGAGTTAGACCTTCCATAAGAGACTTCTTTGTGTTGTTGCTTTAGTATTATACTGCTGTTGAAAATAAAGGTTCAGACTCTTCTCCCTGTTTCACAGTTTCTGAGACATACAGAAATGGAAATTATTTTCACTTAAATGTCATTATTTTGTTTGAAACTGATGCCTGCTTCTGGTTTCCTGCAAACCTGTCGGAGAACTGGATTTCTATTATGTCATCCATTCAATATTGTCTTTCTTAGCTGTGCCCTCTTTGTTAAACTTCTCCTAAAAACAATAAGAAACCTTTTGAAGATCTCGTGTTTCCTCCTAAAGACTGCTACTGCCTTTTTTGCCCACAACCCCTTCCAAGCCAAAGGGAAAAGGCCTTTCTGAGAAGGATAACTCACAGGAACATCTTCAAAATGAATGTCGGTGACATTGTTGTTGGGGCAGCTCTGCCAGGCATTGTTGAGGCGGAAGGCCAGGGCGCTGGTGTGCCGGCCATCCAGGGCAGCGAATTTGCGGAACGTGCAGTTCTGGACATTGATGGGTCCATCATAGAACTGAATCCCTCGAATGGGAAAATCTCTAAAACATATTTGGAGGAGATAGAGAGACATGGTCATGACACAATAGCATCAGGATGAGAATGTATTCTAGACATGTACAGTCCCACAGCACTTGTTTCTCAGCTGCTTTCATTTTTTGCATCCCTTAGGATGACTCCTGAGTTCATGTTTTGGAAGAGGAGGGATTTTCCTCCTTTTTAGGTCTGTAAAGTCCTCTTATCCTTGCAAGTTCAGCTCAAGTTTTCTCATGTCTGAACAGATCATCTTTATTTGTTCTCTGCTTCTCCAGGGAAGGAACTTAAAAGCAGTGCCAAAGCATTGACCTAAAAATGAGTAAAGTCATGTCTGCTATCAGAAATGAGTTCTGCAGCAGTGAAACCTGAAACTCATCAGAGCCGCTCAGACTCCTTGGGTTGAGTAATGGCAGGGCTAAAAGAAGTCCCATCACATCTTTCAAAGGAACTTGGAGAGAAACAGTGGAGCTTAGCTGCAATAAAAAATAGATTTGAAAAGAAGAAAAGGTCTTACAATCCATAGGGTTGAAAAGAGGTGAAGGGGCAGACTAATGAACCTTTATTAACAGCCTTTTCTCTTACCATCTGCAAGGTAAAGAAGACACCATTTTCCACACTAAGTGAATGAGATGCTTAAACTTCTTAAAAGGCTAAGATAAGATGTTTCACATTTCACTCATGATAAATAAATTTCATCCCTTCCTCACTTGAATGTCTTCCCTTAGACAAGACCTGCCTCCTCCTTTTCATTTGTTCTGTCTCTCTGAGTTTCTATACATGACACCAAGGATGAGATACATAAAGGATATTAGAAGCAGAGCTGTAGCAGATGGGGGTTTCATTATTACTGTAGTTAATAATAAGCCTGCTGTATCATTGACAAACAGAGCTGAGGCATATAATACATCAGGAAAAAAAATCAGCATAGCTGGTTGCTCACTGTAGGGCTGCTGTTAGGATAACTGTGTTTTTAGGAATAACAACAAAACATTATTGCACTTGCAACCCAATCCGTAGGACTAAACTCTAGGAAGAGGCCACACACGAAGTTCACTGGGCATTTCAAGACTGTTTAACAAAGGCATCAAATTCCTGTAAGCACAGCAGCAATAGTAACAGCGGCTCTGAGGACATTTGTGACCACATCTGGGGCAGTTCAAACCCAGGGAAAGGTTTCTATGAGCCTTCCTGGCAGCTGGCTTGCCTGGAGACTGCCACATTGCTCAACCACTGCTGACCACATATACAGAAGTGCCCAGCTAGCACAGAGTCTTTTTGCTGCCTTCTCAACTCTGTTTGTAAAGGGGAGGGGGAAGGAAAGAGGAGTTTGATGCTGTCTTGGCAGCCTGCAAGTATGTACCTGCCAGCAGCAGCTGCACAGTGAGGATTTTTGGGATCGGGAGACTGAAACCAAATCCTTTCCGTGTAATGGTTATTAAACTGAACAGCACTGAAGAAACCACATTGGGCTGGAGCTTGCACTGAGAGTGGGAATAGTGAGCGCTTTGATGTGCTGAGCTGAACTTACGGGCCAATGGGCAGGGTCCTTCCTCTGTGATCCAGACCTCCAGGTCCCCAGATCTCGTTATCCATCGTCTCAGTGCCCAGGTTTCCACTCTCACCAACAAACAGGCTGTTTTTGATTTCTTGCTTTGAGCCATCATCATGAGGAAAAGTCCCACCACTGCGAAGGAAGGGCTGGAGGTGAAGGGGGTGCTCTCATCATCCCATCAGCCATGCCCCAGGCTGCAGCACATCCTGCACCACACTTACCTTGCCAAGGTCAGGCCAATGCCATTGTCAGCAAACCTGCAAAGAGAAGAGAAGTGCTTCAGAAGTGGTTTCGGTTTGGTTTGGTTTATCATGTCAAACTGAAATAGCTAAAGCAATGAGGCAGAGGACAGCACGGCTGAATGACTGAGCAGTGCTCATGGGGGAGCTCAGGCTTTTCTAGGTTTGTTCTCTGGTTGTGGGAGATCTTTTTTGGTGCATCTTCCAGTATATGCAGATCACACGAAGCAGCAGGCACATACCTGATTGCTGCTGAGGTTAAGCCACTGATTACTAGGCATAGTTTACTTGTCTCATAAAGCTTTTTCCCTGTGTCTAATGACCATGCTCTTTTCACTCTTAGGTAAAATATCATGCTTATCTCTCACTCCAGCTAGCTTTTATTATTTAATAGTGTTTTGCCTTACACACACTTCTGTGTTCCCATGTTCACGTATCACATACTGCTTCCATATAAAAAACTTTATAAGGGGAACTGTTAGAAAAACAGAGAGCTTGGGTTCTCTTTCATCAACAGGACATAGAGATCAGATCTTACTTATTAAAAAAAAAAAACAAAAAAAACCCCAACATTAAAATGTTTTCCTATTTTGCTGATATTCCAAGCTTTTAGATGAGATAAATCACAACTGTTGGTCCATGACTCCTGCTTATAGGAAGCGTACAATTAATAGGATAGTTTGTCATTCTTGATGGTATCTTCACAATGGTGACAGTTCTAGCTCTGACCAGCAAATGCCTGCAGCAAACCCAGCTTTGTCCTGCTTCTGTCTGTAGGTGGCAGCCCTTCCCACGGTATCGCCTCCCCTTGCCTTTTCCAGCCGCAACGGCACACACCGTGGTTCATATACTGCACGCCACATTAATATTTGGTTTGCTAATGTAATACATAAGTCTTTGTAGCAATAGGAATGGAAGCTCCTGTGGCTATAAAGACAATTACCGTTTGATGATGCTTCCTGGAATTCACATACACTTACAGGTTTCCTGCTGGAAACTGATAAATACTAGGTCTTTTAGCAATCTCCACATGTTGCATTTGCCCCATGAGCAATGTAAATGTCTTAATGATGAGTGTGATCTGTAAGGCAACACTTGCTGGCCATGGAGTGGGCTAGATACTTCTGGTTCATAAGTTCATAAAAAGCACAAACTGTATTATTCGGTATTGCATTTCTGACTGTTCTGCTACAGCCTCATTCTTGCCAACCCAACCAGTTGCTAGAGCCAGTTATGATGCTGGTTGCTTTAAAAGGTTTAGGTCACTTGAAGGTAAGGCAGCTATGGCCAGGAACTGGACACCAGATAACAGCATGATAGCTATTCCTGCTACAGTTACCACAATATGCCTCGTAAAGTAGCTTTTTCCTTTTCCTCCTTCTTCATTGAGGTTGATACCAAGAGCCTGTCTCAGCAAAAGAAACCGTAGAAGATCATCTGTTTTCAAGTGGAAAACAAATATCTGCTCTGACCAGTGCAGGAAATGGCCTTCAAAGAGCACAACAGGCACTTGCCCAGACTCTCTCCCTTGCTGCTGTGATACATAGTTTTATGTCTGCTTTGTCAGTACTTGCTTATTCAGCATAAGAGTAAGCCACATAAAACTGATCTGTGACCAGGCTCAGCCAGAGAAGGTGATGGATTTTGCTGCTTTCTCTTCAAAGCACCTCATTTCCCTGTATAAAAAAATAGGTTTTATTTTTAGTTATTTTTATCTGTGCGTATGTGACTATTTTTAAATGCTGGTCAGCATCACACAGAGAAACAATCTGGGGGATCTTTAGTTGAGACAAAGCAGGTTTTGTTTGCGTAAAATAATGCCTGTGTTTATTTAACGTTTCATCTCTATTTCAATCTTAGCCATATGAAAGGTGCAAAGTGACATAAATAGCTTGAACCACAGCTATGCTCATCATAAACACCAGGCTGAACTCTGAGAGTTGAAATAAGGCAAAACTCACTGGCAGTTGTCCAGCCACACATCTCCACCCCGCAGCCAGGCCCCGTGATCCTGGTTCTTGTAGGCAATAAAGCGCTCAATTATTGCAGGTTCCCTGGGCTTCAAAGGATCTGCATCTTTGTGTGGGCTGTATCTGTAACCAGAAGGAAAGAAGAAGGGTTGGAAAGGGAAGGGGGCCTAGCTCGGTGCACGGCCCCACTAAACATCTGGTTTATGCTAACTCTGCAGCAGCTCTGGGACAACAGTCCATCCAAGTAGCGTGTCTAGTTCAGCAGTGATGGCCAGACCCATCTGCCAAGGGAAGAACGGTCCAGGCAAGGCAGTTGTAAAGACCCACTCCAAGTTTCCTTTCACCTTTCCATTATTGTATTGCTGATATATTGCTGAAAGCATGGAAAGTTTAATACTGCTCCCAAAAGTCTAAGATATTTTTTTTTAATCCCTGTTATCCTTTAGCATATTCCTGTTATTTAGAAAAATATCCTTTTGTTTTCCCTTTTGAGCATTCTTATCTCTTAACCTTGGCTGTACTGTGGCAATGAATACCACTGCCAAATTTTCCTTGCAGCGGAAAGGAATTCAAACATCAGGAGTGTGTGTCCTTTACTATTCCTACTGTACAGTACCCAGGACACACATACAAGATTTATTAACTCTGAAGTTCTCAAGCATGATGAAATATTGGCCTGATACAGGAAAAAAAAAGACACCAGTGGAAACCACAGCAATGTGTGCCCTCAGCTGCTGCCTGTCAGCCACTGCTTGGGCCATGGGATCTGAGCAAGGGTCTGGCTCACTGTGGTGATGCTGAGGTCAGCTGTCTGAGCTCAGCACATCCTGAGGCACAGCTCTCCCTTTGCTACTGGAGGAGCATCTTCCATCATACTACATGGCTTAGAAAACCTGACAGATGAATATCCAACTCAGTGCCAGAAATGGATGGTCCAGAGACTAAAATTCATGCCTCACCAATAAGTAGCAAGGCCAAGCTGTCAGATCACTAACAGATATTCAATAGCACTTTGCTTTTCTTAATAAACCATCATATCTATCTAAAACTGAGCATCAGGCTGATAGCGTTCCAGTACATGAATATTGCTTTGGCAGTTTCATCACTGTGAATTTGCTTTCAGAGAAAGATTTAGTATCAGCCCTTGTGAATTCCCCAGACATTGTTAAATACAGATTTTGAGATGGATTCCAGTTTCATTCACATCCATGTATAACTGGAGGAAAACTACAGGGAACAGAATTTGACTCAGATGTTTAATGAAGAATGCAGAATAATCTCTCCAGCTCTGTCCAACCAACCCCCAAGTTTGCCCCAGCCAATCCAGCTATAATAATTTATTTGATTTTTCAGTCTTGATACATGAAAAGTGGAAAATGACACAAATAATCTAAGGTGCAACTTGTGCTGGTGGGTAATCCCTGAGCATAAACATGACTGCATTATGAATTGCTTGGCTTCCCAGGGTCATTCTTGCCCTTGTATGGCAGGGGACAAATTGCCTTTTGTAATCACTCACTGTGCCTGTGGCAGCAGGCAGCTTTCCAAGCTATATGGAAAACCAGCATCAGGCTCCCAAGAGAATTTTGAGGTATTTGCAGCGCAGACTGATCTTAATAAGTTAATTTTTAGCAGTTGCTTTTATCATTGGATTAACAATTTCAATTAATTGAGCATTAAAATAGTGTAAATAATAGTCACTTTTGAATACTTTTCAGTTTCAGCTACTAGGCAGAGCACTGGGGTGATGTTGATCATGGGATAACTGATATCTGAGCTGCTGATGGGCTCCCATGAGGAGGAGGACCAATCCCACCCCTGCATTGCTTGCTCAGTGCATGACTAAAGCAATCTGGGTAACCCACACCCCAGAGATGGAAAAGAGGAAAGGGAAAAAGCTGCCATTCTTCCCTGCTAAGCAGAGATTTTCAGAGGGTTTCTCTTCCCTACATGGTTTCTTCTGTCAAAAAATCCTAGTCGTTGGGAAATTCAGGTTGGGTGCAACTTGGTCTGCCAGGAAATAAAACTATGACACTTGAGAATATTAAGTCCTTTTCTCTCCCTGGAATTGGCAACTAAGTTAAAAGCCAGAGACAACCTTTAATGAGATAAAAGGTGCAAGTGTAGTCCTTATGCTATTACACTTGACTGCAAGAAGCCCCCTGCTTCCATCAGCCTCCTCAATAGGATCAGCTTCAGAGAAAGATGGGGGATTCCCAGAAACCACCAGCCCATGGTAGGTGTGCCAATATGATGCATTCTATAGAGAGGCTTCCCCTATTTCTAAAGAATTCCATTATGCCACACAGAGGCTGTGCACAGCATGAGGGATAAAGCATCACTCTGAGTTTTTAGCTATAACTATTACTACAGTGGCAGACTTGGAACTAGACAGAAATCTGAAATCAAAGTATGAGCTGCATTACATAAGCACTCCCTGTTCAAGCAGGTTCTGAAACAATAAAGAAAATCAGTAGCATTCCCAGGAAATACTTTTAAGTTTTTATTCCTAGAAGTTCTTGCAGCAAGTTCTGTCCCATTGGGACAAAAATTAGCGGAACACCCTAGAGCAGATGTATCAACCATGCCAGCTCAGCTAGAGCTAAAGAGGAAGGACAAACTGGAAGCATGTGAGTGCTGTGGCGTCCTTGGGAATGGGAATAGAGAAAATGAAGTTAGAAAGTGGTAAATCTAAGTGAAGACCTTTCCTCAATAAAAGCCACCCCAGAGGCATTGCCATGATACTTGTCAGCTTTCTTTGGGACAACTTCACAGTTTTCAGTCAGTGCTGTAGAGAAGCCTTTTCCAAATCAAAAGGTTTGTTTTCTGTGCAAAACACTTTACCTTCCAGAAATCAGAGTCAGGATAGGTCTCTTATCCTTGGCAGAGGCTGGAGTAGTTTTAACGCCGTTATCGATGATCATTCCAGCCTAAAAGAGAAATGCAATATTACAGTATATTTATATATTCTACAATTCTTTCCATCTCCAGGCTCTACCTCCAATTGTTCTAAGCTGAAGTAACTCTCATGAGCCTAATAACTGCTTCTGCAGCCTAAAGCACCCCACAACACTACCACACAGCCCCACTACATGGCATGCTATGGGTAAATAAGTAAAGTGAAGGCAATTAGACACAGTGGCCTGTATTTATCCCTCCAAAAGCTGTTCAGTTAATTGCTAACATTGGCAGTTGAGGTCTATAATTAGACAAGCTGACAATAGATGCTCCTGGAGGCACTATTTTAGGAGTGCAGAAGCAGAGGAGCAGCCTGAGCAGAGGGAAGAACCTCTCTGAATGCCCAAGAGTCAAGTGAAGCAGGTGCTAGCCAACTCTGAGAGCTCCTGTGCCAGCACGCAAGCTGCTTTATCTGCAGACACAAACAAGCCTGCAGTTAACTTTCAGTGAAAAAGAAAGCACAGGCATTAATCGCTTGCAGACCCAAAGAGCTGAAGCGAGATGGTGTTTATTTCGAGGGCAGTGTTCCCATTGCGTGCAGACTCACCCGGTAGTTGGAATGCGCACGGTTGTTGAAGAATTTCCCCATCGGCATATGCTCCGAGTAGCCGGGGGAATACATGCCCGCCGATGGCCCTGTTGGCACATGGTGCAGAACAAACCAAAAGCCTGTTTCCTGAGAAAGAAAATGGACATCTGAGACTTTGCTTGAACTTCTTTCCTGGTCTACGTTAGCCCAGGGAACTGTCAGTAAAGCCATAAGATGTAAGCCAGAAGATTTCAGGACAAATCACAGCTAGCAGCATTGACCTGTGTAGCTATATGCAGCAAAGTGTTTGACGTGCATGTGCATTCACATTCACAGTCTCATATCTCCAAGAGGCCTTAAGTTAAGCTTTGACATCTATTGAAGCTATAAGCAAGAATTTGAGATACTTAACACACACACACACACACACACACACACTGATATCCTCCTATCACTGCATAGGATCTTAAAAATCAGATAGTTTTTATTCAGTTGCCTAAAAATGTGTCTAGGAGCCTGAATCCAGGTATTCAGGTTTGGAAGTTTGGGGAAAATCATATCTCTTTGTTTAAGGCTTATTTAGCGTGTTTATTTGTCTTAGTAGGAAAATAAAGGCTCCTGATGTGACCAAGAATTCCTGTGGAATTGGCATTAGTCCTGATTGAAATTTTAGGGCACCGTTACTGTACTACCATCAGCAGAATCATTGCCAAAGACTTCACTGGGACTCTGCAGTCACGTTTATTTCATTTATACAGACTGCACCCAGTGCAAAGGCTGGGAACTTTTGTTAAAGTCATGCAGCTCTAGAAACAGCAAGTGACAAGAAGTGTGGAGCAAAAGGAGAAGTGTTGTTTTTCACTGGGAGCACCAGCCACGTTAATATCTGTCTCGATTGAGCAGCATTTCGAAATGTCTGTGTCACAGAAGCAGGTTTTATTCCAGCAAGAGCCTTGCAGGGCTGTAACCAGTCTGGGTTGTTCCCAAATAAAAAACTTTGCACTCACTTCAGATCCAGCTGCTGCACAGTTTATCAGGTTGTTGTGTGGGTTGGCTATCCAGAAGGTGGATACGGCACTGCAGGTCAGGAAAACAAAACATAACATAAAGATGACACTCTGAGCGCACACCAGAGTCACTGATCAACTCCCCCAGTACGGGGGAGATATCTCCTCAGATAAGAGGTCCTGCCTAAGGGTCAAAGGGAATGTTGTTTTTCCTTTCTCTTCTCATATCACATGTCCTCTGCAGTTTGACAGAAAGCATGGCCTTATCTTTTAAAACCCTGAGCATTAAATGAGGAATTTCAACTGCAATTCCAAGCCTGCTATGAAGCTGTCAGATGTCAATTAGGTTTTATGATAAGGTAAATATGTTGCACAAGTCACAGAAAGGAACTTTGCCCCCAAATAAGCCCTCAGAAACTCATTTAATCAAAAGACCCAATAAATTGCCTCTTAAGGGCTTTCCAAGTGCACCCCAGTACCTGACTTTTCCATGAGCTGCTGTGATTAATTAACTTTATTTGCCACCCTCTTATGCACTGCTTTTGGGACAAAAGGACTCGGTTTGTATAATGCACATAAAAGACTCTTAATGGAAAGATTCCCATCAAGGAGGAAAGATCAGTCCATCACTGTCCATCCTGTGACATACAGTATTCATTAACCAACAGGCACATAACTCTGGGAGGAGAACAGCCAGCACTCACAACCAGCAGACTGGCTCCCTGAAATCCTGAGTGAGATTCATGCTCCTGTAGGGACTGAACTGATGGAACCCATATGTCTATTTTAACTTTGCTATGAAGGACTTCATGGGGGCTTTAGGCCAACAGATTTTGCTGGCCTAAGATGAAGTTCTGTTTGTGTGATTTTATCATGAAAACACAGCAATTTTTTTTCTATTTTTGGCATGCAACTGGCCTAGAAAGAAACATTTTGAGATTATTGAGATTACTCTGACTGTGTAGGCAAGGACACGGACATTATATTTCCACAATGACCTGTCATTCAGCCCAGTCCTATTCCCCAGAGCCATGTGGATTGAGCAGGTTACTGTGTCACTTGGCACAATCCTATTGTCTTAATTTCTGCCAGTGGCTTCCTTCCTGCCTCTTCCAAGCTGACAGAGCCGCAGCTGGTGCTCATCCATCATCCCTGCACTGGGTGCCTTGGCTGCTGCCCCACGGATAGCGTTAGTGTACTCATGCACTTGCATGACCTCAGTGCAAAACAAGCTATTTTTCTGATCAAACCTCAAATTCCTTTAAATAGCAAAACATGGCAGATCAAAGTACTGTAGGACCTTTTCATTAGACCTCTGCCAGCATTCATTTTTCATATAACAGTCTTCAAGATGACACAAAATATGTCCCTCTGACTATTAAATGGATTATCAGTGGAAAATGAGCACAATGGTTGATCAACTCTTATTTTATGAATGGAGACATTAAGTGTAATTTATAAACAAACACAGATGTGAAAAAGAGCATTGCATGAATTCATCTCTTTCCCTTGCCAAGCTACGAAGCTAAAAATATGTTTCCTTGGACAAAACTCCGGTTTGTTCTGAGGACAGAAGGGTGATACTGATACAGGTTCAGCAGATTGAGAGCATTTCCAAATAAAAGAAATTCCCTGAAGACATTTCACTGTTAGCCATCAATCAGCTTCTAACTGTCTAATTTTCAGGACGGAAGTCTGGCTCCAAAGAATTTTTTACTAACTTTTTGTTGATCAGAAATTTAGCTCTTCCAGATTTTGAGTGTTTTTTAAGAATAAATTCCTGGAGAAAAATCTGGACTATGAGCAGAAGCATTCCTGTCTCCCAGCAGTTTCAACACTGCACCAATGTTCTATAGTCTCAAGACAAATCTTCACCATGGAAGACCTCCTATCCTGTTGCACAGGGGTCTTGTCCTCAAGATGATCCAACATCAATTTTAAATTCTTAAAGGCAAGTTTGATGTCCAGCTTTTAAAAGAAAATGCTCTGAGAACAATGTGGTTCCACAGATCTGCTCCAGACCATTTGCTATGCTCCCTGGACTACAGCTGGGGATCTGGTTGCCTAGCTGCTAAGTACACAGGTTTTACTGTAAGAGTTTCATGGTCTCTCAAGAAGAGTCAGGGAGATGTGGGAAGAAAAAGAAACCTAATTAACTGCCTGATGCGCATCAAAATGAGCAGGTTCCCTAAGCAGCTATTAATGAACAATGGGTAATTTTCCAAGTTGTGCACCTTGATTTTGTGGCAGAAAACCAGCTGGCAAATCATGGAAAGAATGGCTAGAATGGCCTTCAGGAGCTCAGTGAGTCTACACCCTACCTTACGGCAGGGTCAACTACAACTACAGTGTTTGTGACTGGCATCCTCTAACCTGTGCTTAAAAATTACTGCTAAAGAAGAACCCATTAATTCTTCTAAGAAATAATTCTAATGTTTAACTGTGTGGCCCAGATGGTTGTTATTTCTTCTATATTTCACCTGATCTTTTTCTACAAGGCTGCAAAAACAACTTGTAAAATCCCTTCTTGTTGCAAATGCTTCTATAACCCTCGTTTAAACTTCAGTTGGCAGATCTGCCAGGACGCTTAGAGGAAAGGATCTTGAAAAAAGGGAGATGAAAGGCATTTAGCATTTTTCAAGTTTAACACAGTGTTTGTGGCAAATAGAAGTTTTGAGAAGCTCTCTCAGAAAAATTTTAATGAGCTCATGTATAGACAAATTATTAGAGGTCCAATGGGTGTATATAGTCTTTGATCTTTTAGTAAATTCTAATTCTGTGCTAAACTGCATTTATTATATCATTTTACTTTCACTCCACAGTTGGGCAGACTGCCATATGAATGCGTAACACCAATGCTTTAGCATTAAACAGGAGTCATTATTCACAAATAATGACTTCTGAATTATCAGCAGTATTTTCAAAATCAGCTACCATTCGAGATGAGCACAAATGTCAGAACTCAGCCCACTCTGAACTCAGCAACTTTTTGCTGAGCCATTGGGATCAAGTGTCCATAAGGCACAAGGCATCACCATGTACTTTGAAAGAGATTTTCAATATCTGAGGTAGGAACACTCTCAACTGACTTTATGGTAAAAATGAAAATTACACCCTAAGTGTGTAGGCATCTGAATAGGACAAGTATAAAGATCACAGACTGCTCTCCCAACCTTTGGGAAATGCAGCCCACACCTCTACAGAGAAGGACTACATAATCAAATACACAGAATGCCATCTTCTGTGGCTAAGTCCTGCAAAGAATAGAAAGAGGAAAAGGAAGGCTCCCACTCACCTACAGTCCTGCCTGGGTTTAGGGATGTACCCTGGGTAAGCACCCTCTGTTATCAGCTTGCACATCCTGCTGTCTCGGTCAGAGGGGAGCAGAGTGCTAGGTTTAACAAGCAGTCCGAGGCAGTGATCAAACGTGTTGCGCTCTTCTGGTCCATCCTCTGTAAAGAAGCAATGGCCCAGTGCATCATAACCCACAGCATCCTTCACCTGCATGTACAAAGCAAAGGTCAGTGTTCAGGTTTTGTGCTTCAGCCACTGCATAATAATAAGAAACTTTACAGCAATGGTACATAGGAAACTCAGTACCCTCTTGAACTCAGGGTGTATAAGGAAAACCAAAAGCAAGATCTTTCTCTGCTCTTAAAAGTTCATAGTCTAAGCAATAATTCCAACACGTAATTAGAATTTGTCATCACCTAGGAAATGCTCATTCCATTCTTATGTTTGTTTGTGAAATCAGAGACTGCCTTAGCATGAGGCTGGAAAACACACAGGGTGGGGGGTGAATGGAGGACATGAGATGTTCAAATCACATCTGGGCTCATTCATCTTCATGTGGAGTTACATGGGCAGCACATAAAGTGCATTCGAAAAATGCAGCTGAGCTGAAAAAATATTTTTTCAGGCTATCACAAAGGTGGCAAGCTGTTTTCCAGACAGGCTGGTTTGGTTTAGGTTTGACCTGATCCTTTTCCCCAAGTTGTTGACAGAAGCTTTACTTGACCCTGAGACATATCAGCTGGTGTTAATGATGCTCTGGTTTTAGTTTGAATGTTGTTAATATTGGGACATTGTTGTATTGGGCAGAACAATACACATCACATCACTGATAGATCTGAGAAAACAATTTCAGGAGCAGATATGTGAATTAAAAGCATAAGGCTAGGACTGGCTGGGAAACAACAGCCCTTGGACACACTGTGTCCAGCAAGTCAGTTAGTAGATATGTCTGAGATATGGAAAATTAGTTTCCGGTCTCCACTGGCAAGAGGAATGGCTGCCACTCCTGGGCTCCCTCCTTGCTCTTCCCATGAGCCATCACCCATCAAGCACCTTGGACTTAGGAAACCTTCCTGGCAAAGGTTAACCTGACACCTGTGTGTTTCTACAAGTGCTTCTGATGAAACAACAATTACAAAGGGGCAAAAGATAATCTTGAACTGGATAGAAGACCTGTTCTTTATGGTGTTACTGGGAGACCTGGGTGCTCAAGTGTCTGAATTACCGTTGTAAGCTGGCCTGAGACTCTTGAATCATATCCATGCCTCATTCTCAAGGCAAGGAGCACCAATTTCAAATAAAACCACAGGACTAGTGTTGAAATGATTGCAAATATGTTTTCACATAAGAAGGAACGCTTTGCTTGCCAAATCTATTACAAGCTTACATCTGCACACACATCTATTATGTATCATCCATGCTCTAGTGTAAATACTCAAATCTCTGAACATCACAGTAAATTAAACACAGCTAAAATGACCTGCAAAGTGGTGCATTCCTTTAAGCTATCTCACTGAAACTTACTGCTAACTTCACTGATCTAATCAGATGATAACTTTTGCAAGGTTTAGGCTTTTTTAATTAGGTGTAAAATGTATGGACTAGACAGAACTGTCCCTTCTTGGATGAATGATCTGTCCCAGCCTTGCCATGGTAAAGGTTTACAGGATAGAAGAACATTTCAGGAGAATGAGCTATCTTCAGAAGAAGTTTTCTGACACGTAGAGGTGTTTTTAACCACACAATGCCAGAATTGCACAGAAACTGCCACCAATACCTATTAGCTTTCTCTCACTACTGGAAAGACACATAAGTAATGGTGCTGTGACATCCAGATGATGGAAACAGTTTCCCTAGAGAAATGTTAGCCACTTTGTATGGCCATTTATCTCTCCAGCACAGTGCTGCACTAAGACCGGGACAGGAAAACCTGTAGTGACAAAACATGAGCCTACCTTTGTGTGAGTAACACTGCAGGGGAACACACCTGGCATAGTGAGAGGAGTGAAGCAGAGAGAGAGGCACTCACTGGCACAGGGGCTCAGAGCCAGCAAATGCCCAGTGTTCTCCTAACTCATTCCTGAAAGCCCACAGAACAACATGGAGTTATCAGACAGGGACCTGGTCCCCAGTGCATTTGTCACTCTCCATTTTATAAATTACTTTCCCCATATCTCATCTCTCAGTCAGCTCTTAGTTTCCTCTGCATGTTTCCATGCACAAGCCCAGCACTGAAATGCTTGGGTAGCAAATGAGATGTTTGTTCCAAAATCATTTCTCAAATGGATCTAATTTTTTAATTTGATTTAAACCTTCCTAATAGTCCATAATCTTACTTTAACCTTGAGTAATTTATGACCAGATAGTGCCCTTTTGGTAAAACAATTGCTGTGCAATACAGCTGGATTAATAACAGCAGATACCACTGAAGCAATTAGACAGCACAACCTCATATTCACTGAAGTATGGCTCTCCCTTGAATTCTGCCAGACTGGTTTTTTCTGACTTCCTCTTAATTTCCCTCTCCAGTGGCTGTTTCTGTTTTATCTTGCACACTGGGGTCCAGTGGAGAGAGTGGGAATCAGAGCAAAGTTTCATCCCTGGTATTGCAGTGGCGCAACTAGGTGGTTTTATGGCAAATGTATTAAGGAAAACATTGGGTAATTATTGCATTTTCAAACAACAATTATGGTGAGAAAAGAATTTCTACAGATTTGTTTCCAGGAGGACCCTCTGTGTCCTCCAGTGAATATGAATTTGCAGACAAGTGCAGAATAGCCCATCAATGGGAGTGAGCCAATGTTGAGATTGTGACTTTCAGCACAGCGTACAGACCCACAGGAAAACATTTCTGCCATCAGGAATTACTGGACACTGTTTTCTGCTCGTGTTTTCAGCATGAGTATCTCTGAAGTGACATGAGTTGTCTGAAGTGATAGCAAAGGAAGCAGGGAAGCCTGTAGGCAAATTACCAGCCTGCTTTAATGACACTTAAAAATAAGTGATGCCCCTCTTCCATTTGTTAAAGCATTTGCACAGGTACTAAACCACAGCCCTGCAATAATCCCCTCTGAAATCAATGGCTTCAGCTATGCTGAGGTTTAATATCCCTGCTAGATTTTCTTGTACAGCTATTTCCAAAATGTGGTTTGTGCACATCATCAAGGCAAATACTCCCTCAGTGAAGGATGCTTTGGTTCTGTGTGATCTCAGAGGGAATGAATGTTACCTGGGGAAAGACAGAGCTTGTCTGTTTGCAGAAACAGTGATCATGCATGTAGCAACAGGTAGTGTTGCCCAAGTAAGAAGTTAATAGGCAGCTAGGAAATGTACAGAATAACTGTTGTAATCATCAGAGATCCATGTGGGTGTCTGTGAATATATCTGGGGCAGAAGGAAGAGGAAAGGAAGGAAATCAGAGTCAGAAGGCAGATGAGGAGATTGTGGTGGGATCACCTGACAAATTGAGACATGGAGCTGCTGATTGCAGATGTCTACCATGGAGCAATGAAACAAAACATTTAAGTGATGCAACCTTTGGAGCACATCTTCTGTGATGCAACTGAACAAATTTGTTCAGGTTGCTTTATTTCACTGGGACTTTAACTATCAGCAATAATCATACAGTTAAAATAGAAAACAAACAGGTAAAATATTATGAGTAGAGTTTAGCATCCACACACTTTGGTAAACCATAACCCACAGGGATTCAATTCTTGACTAATATTTATTATTTGTCCCAAATTTTAAGATTTCTCTTGGGTGCCTTGTCATGGAGGCAAAGCATGGTCATTTAGTGAATTGTGGCTGTGGAGTAACAGCAGGAGGATCAAGCTGCTTTTGTCTGCTACGTCAGCCTGTCTAAATTTCATCATGCCATCTTGGCTGGAAAAGCCTGAGCACATGGATGGAACTCTAGCCCATTAATCGTCTGTGGCACAGTTATCACTTGGAGAACGCAGGGCTTTAGCTGGCCTGCAGCTCGCCAACAGCTGTGCAACCTCTATGCAGACAGAGGAAGTTTTTATGGTGTCATTAGCAACAGTCCATGACAGCGTGACAAATGAATCCTGCAATGCTGCTCTTACGCTCTGCACATTAATTGCATACTAAGCCACTGTACTGGTGACTTCGAACTGGGAGGATGCCATATGACCCTGAATGCCTTATATAATTTATGTAGTAGAATGTCTTTTTTCTTTAGAAGCTGTGTTCACTTGCTAGGATTTTAGGAGCATGTTATATACTTAGAAGGATAGAGGTTAAAACAAAACCTCAGTTTCATAAATAGCAGATAAAAAGCTGCTCTGCTTCTGGAGCGGCAATTTCAACGCCCTCTCTTCAAATTTGGTGCATTATAATTTTGCCTGTGACTTTCCCTTCCAATGGATATCTTGCTTTGGAGGACAACTCAGACAAATCAGAGCTCTCTGAGTGCTGAACGCTGTGAATAAGATTGCAAACACAAACCTTTATTACAGGAAAGATGAAGCAAGCTTAAACCTTCTGATTATCATCTTTAAATAGCAAGCTCTCTGTCTATAGATAGATCAAACTACTCATTAGAGATGGGCTGGTCTGCAACACCACTGCACACAGACAAAAGCTCTGCCTGCTCTGAGTCACACATAGCCTACACTGGCCTTCTCCTTTTGAACGCAGGTTGAAATATCCCTGGAATATATACCCACAGTGGGAAGAGGCAGACATGAGCTCAAACAATAAAACACATCATCCTTCAATAATTAAGCTGTAGTCACACTATGACAATATTTTTTAAGTGGTGCTTTGATGTCCAAGGTAGACATCTGGGGCTTCTTACCAGTAAACCATTGGATCCATGGACTGTGATACAGCGGGAAAAAGTATGGTGGATGGAGACATCCTTCACGTATGTCGGAGGGTTGTAGCCTCCTTTCTCATCCACATCTCCAGCCATATGGAAATGAATTGGGTAATGTCCCATCGTCTGCTGGCCCATGTATTTCAGTTCTAGACCTTCAATATGAGTAGCCTTAAAATCAAGACCAATCTGGAGAACAACAGAACGTCAGTCAAGTAACATGAAAGACTGCTGAGGAGGGGGAATACAAGAATAGGAAAGGTTGCACTGTATCTGCCAGGAAGATCAACCGTGTGGAAGGAAGTGTATGGCTGCAGGGTGAGGAAAAGAGGGTCATGGTGGCTAAAGGGACCATGATTGCTTTTTGATGTCCCCACTGCTGCAATGGCTACATTTAACTTAAATTTAGAAGGAAAACAGCATGTATTTAATATTTCCACAAGTTTCAGTCAGCTGGGCTCAAATCAAACTCCCAGACCGAGCACCACTAGCGTCTGGGGAAAACTGGGATTGGGAAATGGAGATTGTATCTCAGGTGGGTTGAGCACCAGCCTGTCTGCCTGAGCAATGTCTGCAGGGGCATGAGGTACACTTCAAAGCCAAAGGACAGGCAGCAGCAGTGGGGGTGATGTATTGTGGGGAGAGGCTGTTTGCTCAGTGGCTGACATGAGGGATTTCTCTCTTCCTGCACCCTGGCTTCCTTGGTATGTGAAGGTGTGGCTGGGAGGAGGAATGTGCAAGGAGAGGGCTTTCGCCTTACCTTGATGTGTCCCCCAAAGGTGTCGAAATCAAAGAAGGAGCATAACTTGCTGCTGTACTCATAGCACTGCCCCTCCATCTCGCCCATCACCACGACGTTGCGGCTCAGCAGCCCCACTTCTGCCCTCATGTCAACACCATCAATCACTTCACCAGTGTGGAGGTATGTTGCTTTCCCTAAAGGAACAAGATCCATTTTCAGGGTTACTCTGCCAGTGCTGCTGGTTTCCCCTTGTGCTTCTTGTGGTGGGATTGGCATGATAATGAAAGGAATAACTGAGTCAGCATAACCTGTTGATTGACTCTATAACAGAGAGAAGGCTGGAGCACAGGTGTCACCCAAGGCCTTGCTGAGATATTTGCAGTGGAGGAGATGGGATTTTTGGTTTAAAGTTTCTCCATTTACCCAGGGAGTTAAACCAGTAGCCTGTCAGACAAATCACATTTCCTACCTTGAAAAGGGACTGTAATCCAAAATAAAAAGATCTTGAATGATCCAATCAGCTGTGTATGAGCATTTTGTGCATAGACAACTGATGATGTAGCTACTGAAAAGTCTCAGTCCCCAAGGTTAGCACAGCACTTCTTATAGTGAGACAATGAGAGCTGCTCAGATCCCACAGCACAGCCTGCTCATGGGCGAGCATCAGTCTTGCTAATGCCATGGCTGTTAATCTAAGCAAGGAGAGGACTGGGCAGAGAGCCTTGTGACAATTGAGGCTTGGGACAACTGCAACCCCTCCTCCAGCTTGTGGGCTGCAAAACCTGTCACTGCCTGCCCTCCCAAACCTCTTAATTTCAGTTCCACCTGCATGTATCCAACTTGCTTCACTCTGCCCTGGTGCAGTCGGAGTTGGTAGATCTTACACCTACCCCATGCCACATCTCCCTTTGCTAGGCCAAGTCATTCATACCACTCTTTGCACAGATACCTGGCTTCATGGAAAGGTTAAAAGCACAGAAAACTTTCCCTGGCCTAACTAAGAAGGGGTGAAGTCCAGGCAGTGTGGATGTCTAGAAAGCAAAATCATCTCTCTGCTATAATTTCATTCAAACATATTCATACTCCCTCCTTCTTTCCATGGCTTTCTGCAGAGAATGCAGTTGGAAAAAGGTTCATCTTACTGACTACATTCTGTATTATTCCAGTAAAAATAAGTAATAAACTTTTTAAGTAAACACTGAACTTTAAGGAATGCTACACTTGCATGTATTTCATTTCAATGGAACCGTTCAAATATGTAATTAGAAACAAATGGCAAGCCTGAAGCCTGGCTATTGCTGTGAAGCACTTTACACTTAAACAGAGGTGCCAAGTTAAAGGGGGGGATTTTTGAACATTGAAACGGTTTTGTGTTTAACCAAAACATGATGCTTGACTTTATAACAAAGATAAGCACACATCATTCACTCCCTCTTTTGCAGCTGGGAGCAGTGCAGTTTGATGGTAATATTGGGATTTGGGAAGGATGAGGACTTTTGCTTTGCTCCAAGAGTGCTGTGCTGTGGGACAGGGTTCACACCATTACATGTGCCCTCTGCTTCTGCACCTCCACCTTTAAAACTATAAAATTATGTGAAAGAACACTCTTTGCTAACTGGAGGAGTGGTGATGACAGAACATTTGGACACAGCTTTCTGCCTGCGGGGGAAGATAAGGCTACTCCAAGCTCCGTGCTCAGCCCCAGAAATGAGGGGCTGCAGGAGGCCACGGATTTGCTCCTCACCCATTTACAGTCACCCCCCTGGAAAATCCTGGTCTTCCCTGTGTTGCTGCCCCAAAGCCAGTGAGCCTCATTGGATGTGTGGTCAAAATCAGACCCAGGCCATCCAAAAAGCAGTTTTGCTTCCCTTATTCACATACATTTAAAAAGCCATTGTAGTAAGTGCCCTCCACACATTGAACAAGTCTGCTAAGGAGCATAGTGTCTTGTTATGAAACCAGTTTTCAGCTGTTATTTTTCAGTTTCCCCCTGAGATGACCTTTCCTTGATTTACTGAAATGCAGGAAGAAGTTCAGATAATCATAAGATCACCCTATTGGAAGCCACATCTCCAGGATTTGTGGCAGTGAAATTGGATAGGCAGTTTTGTTATTCATGCACTAAGCTCTAGAATAATAAATGTCATGCTTGCATGTATTTAATTTAATCTAACACCAGTCCAGACATGTAAAATAGGGTAAGCACTGACAGGAATGTTAAATACGGACTAACCAGTTTCTAAATATAACATCTTGGGTGCATGTTTTTCACTTTGTGCTTTTGCTGACTTGGCTTGTTTGGAGATAAAAGGAGATATGGAAACCAATTCCCTTCCAACGTAAAAGTGGATTTTGAATAATAGCTCCTTTAAAAGAGTTCTGAAAAACAAACCTCTCCTCAAGGCAGCCGGAAATTCAAGGTCCCCATGGCAATGGGGCTGTGTTCCTGAAACAGATCACAGGAGACAACCCCTGGCATGGGAGCTCTTAGGTGCTGTAAATGCTGCTGGGAACCAGCACTCCAGCAACAGGAACTTCCCATGGGGCTGGAAGCACCACAATGTGCCCTTATAGACACACGGCACTTCCAGGGAACTGCTGGGGCATGTTCAGTGATAGGCATGGAAAAAAACCCAGCAAAAGAGGCTGCTCCATGATGAGTTCAGGGAGTTCACCTGGGGACAGGAGCATCTCACTCTGCAGAGCTACAGACTTGAAGCTAGGTTGCCAGCACAGCGAGCCTTCCCAGAGAGCAACCACGGTATCTGAGACCCTGAGACCTGGCCATAGGCAAGCCCAAACCAGGGGTTTTCAAACACCTATTGAAGTGGTTTGATACTAAAAAGGCAACACTGTGCTTTGGATGTGGGAGGAATTTGTCTGCTCCTTCAGCATCAAAGCCAACAGCTGTGATTGCTCAACCGCTAACAAACCCATGGGTCACTGATTCACTGTGTCCTCATATTGAGCCTTGGGCTCATACTTGCTGCATCCCTCATGGACAGATGGTGCCCTGCCAGAAATCCAGGCTTGTGCCATGTTATAATCTAAACCCATCAAAGCCTTGCAGTGGCTTAGATAATGTCTCCCCATAACAGCCTATGTGATAGACTAGCAAAAACGCCCAGAGTTTGACACTTTATTTGTAGTATGAGTGCCTCCAGGTAGCAATATGTAAATTCATGGTGAAAAGCTTCTTTAATGTGTGACCTGGCCTGGTAGAAGTCTTGATCCAGAAAATATGAGGATATTTCCATGCTTATTACTCAAGACAGTGACTATTAAAGTCACCAGTTCTTGGTAAGGACAAGGTAATTATGGAAAGAAAACATGCATTAAAATAAACATAGATGATCCACTAATCAAGGGCATGCTTATGCTAATAAAGCAATTCAAACCAGAGTCTCTCCAAACCGAACAATGCTCCAGGACAACCTGGCATACAAACATAGCCATAAAACCTGGGTCTCAAGCCTTATCAAACCTAGGGAGGGTGGAATTTTGAAACTATTTCAGCTGCTACAGCTGTGGCTGTATGCTTAGCTCTGGTGAATTACACAGATGCCTGACAACCCTCCCAGGTACACTTATGCATTCCTAAATGCCTTAGCTCTAAACGACAAACTGCTAAATCTCCCTTTCAGAAGTGAAACAGGCACCTGAAGGTCTGGCTTTGGTGAGGATAAAGTGGAGCTAAGATGCTCCTGGATTTATTTTTTTCTCTAAAGTGTCTTTTGTTCTTCTTTGGGCTCTCTAAGGCCAAGACCTTCTCTTTCATGAACTTTTAACATTTCCTAAACAAGAGTTTCTTAAAGGAAATACTAAACACAAACTTGTATGTTTCACCCATGTAACCCAGCGACAGTGAATCCTTCAGGGCATCTTTCTAATCAGTGCAATTCATTGTAGATGCCATCCCAGGCCTCTGTCAGATTTAGTGCTTTTGCCAGCACTGGTGGTAAAGCCTTTATTCCTTATATTTAATAACCAACAAATGTTCACACAGACATCCTGTCAAAACCTCATTATTCTGAATTATCTTAATGAGGTTTGCTATTGCATCCCTAAACCACAAGCCTGTAATGGAACACAGCATGATTTGGATGAGTTGATCAGCTTCTTGAGTTATACAGTACAACCTGATGTCTTAACAAATAAATATTCCTTGCATTCCTAACTTTCACATGGAAAACTAAATTTACAGTAAAAAAAAAAAAAACCAACAAAAAAATACCCAAAAAAACCTACAAAGCTAAGCATACAGCAGAAAGGATGAAACTTTATAAGGAGTTCAGAGCTAAGTCATTTTGGGATATTTTCCTGCTGGGTAACTTATCCTATTACAGCCCTTCATCCCTTTTCTCCTTCAAGATCCTGCAAAGTTTGGAAATATACCTTCTGTTGTAGAGTGTGAAGAGCCTTGATTTAACAGGGATATTATTAAGCTAATTATTAAATACTCTATTGGATCAAAGCCTCTGTAGCTGGTTTCAAGGCTGAAACAAGTGGATCTTACCGCTGCAGATTGGTGCAACAGGAAGATTGATGTGGACTAGGGAAAATGCTTCTGCTCATGCTGGCTTTAACTGAGCACTGAGAGGTCTGTTTTATCCCAGTGGCAGTGTCACACTCTTTCCTAAGGCCATTCCTGTCCCATCTCACACCCTCTTTCTAGAGCAGCTACTTGCAATGTACTAACATACTGCTGTAAACGCTAGGGTTTCCTTCTCCAAATGTCCAGGTTTTTCTTCTCCTTATGCTGACATTTAAGTTCTTGTAGCTGGGATGGGAAGATTAGACAGCTCTAGTGGACAAAGAGGTCAATTCCTTACTTAAATCAGGCCCAAATTCAAGTCTTCCGAACCACTATGTCAACTTGAGTATGCTTCTGTCAACTTTGCTTCCAGGCAACACCCAGGGGCAGAAGAAAGAGCTCAGAAAGACTGTTTGAAAGGGCCATATCACAACATTTCCTGCCCAGCCTTCAAGCACCAGGGTTGGCTTAAAAAAAAAAAGTTTCTGGCAAGTTCCAGCCAAAATGATGCCAAGTTCTAAACAGAACCCCTGAATCTCTAAAAGTATCTGAATTTTGATAGCAGAGTAACTTCTCCCATCCTTATAGCACAAGATGAACACCGACACAGGCTGTGAAGTTTAGACAACTATAGATTTACATTTTTTATTCATGAACAAGATCACTGTAAACTCTCTCTCTAGTATTTGCAATCCAATAAGCAAGATTTAAGATATGTGTGTTTTTAATCATAGATTCACCAGTATGTGGGGTAACTGGAGTAATTATGCGAGGTACAAACAGTTTTTTCATGCTTTATCAAAAGCATATAGGAGCACAAAAGAGCATTTCATCATTTTTGTTCCATGGTGAAACTTATCAGCATTAGTAGTAACTTCATACAGAGCAACCAAGATGAAGATAAGACTTGTTTCCCAGGGAAACTACACAAAATACTTGATCTTTCCTACTATCCAATTCTATCACAGCAACACAACCCTTCCTTCCTTCCTCCTCCCTCCCTCTGCCCTATACTGTTGTCCCTCCCCAAACCTTGTGAAGTTGGAAGATCAAACAGTTTTAATCTGTTCCCACAGAGAAAATAATCTAGGCACAAAAATGACAAACAAAAACCAAAGGAGGCAAGAGGAGAAAAATGTTCCATTTAAGTGAGTGACCATTTGATGGGGAGCAGGACCTGCAGAGCTAAGTCCTCATGCAAACCAGGCTTACACATGGAAGCCAGTTTTGACATTAGTGTAATTACTCCAATAAAGGAGGGCATAAGGTCAGTGTCTGGGTGCCCTCCACAACTTTCTACACTGTGATTTGCAGAAGTCCGTGGTTAGACAACTAAATCCTACTAAAACCTGTTGGCAATTCAGTGTTAACGCTCTTAAGCTGTTTTGAAAAGACCAGCTTCTAATCAGTCCATTCCCAGCATGTAGAGAAAGGGTGAGTTTTCAGCAGAAAATATCAAATATAAATAGGACATGAGCTATCAAATGAATTTGATTTAGTTGGCACAATACGCTAAACTGTGTCTATCAAAATGTTATTAAACAATGAGAGCACCAATTACAATCAAACCTTAGTATGCCAAGCTGCTGCAACACCAAATTGTCTGTCCACAAAGCAAATGTTTTCTGCCTTTTTTTAAACAGAGACTCTTAATAGTTCAGACCTGACATTTAGGTTTTTGTTAAAAAAAAAAATTGGAAAAAAAAAGAAAAGATTAAAAGGAAATAAATCATCATGGGTAGGAATGGTTTTATCATTTGTCTTTCAAAGGGCAGACTTCTGGAGTTTTCAGCTCTTAAACTAAACCTCTTAGGGAAAATCAAGACATGCCACTTACTACAAATTACATTCCTCTGAGACCCCACATATAAATGTATCTGTGTGGAAGTTTTTTTCTCAAACAGAGCAAAGCAATCCTGCATATCTGACATAGCAAAAGGCAGATGGATATTTATGTTGAACATCTTCATGCAATTAAGAGCCTAATGTGTCATACAAGCACAGGTTCTAAGCAAGCCCACTGCTTTTGCCAGCTATTTTTCTGTGCTTGCACTCTATCGGCCAATCCTCATTAACACAATGGATGATGTGCCACTGGAAAAAATAAAGCCTTATCAAAAGAAGCAAGACCAGGAGGTCGACGAAGGTGTTCCTGCCCCTCTACTCTGCTCTTGTGAGACCTCACTTGGAGTATTGTGTGCAGTTCTGGAGTCCCCAACATAAGAAGGACATGGAACTTTTGGAAGAAGTCCAGAGGAGGGCCACGAGGATGATCAGGGGACTGGAGCACCTCCCCTATGAAGATAGGCTGAGAAAGTTGGGGCTGTTCAGCCTGGAGAAGAGAAGGCTGCGTGGAGACCTCATAGCAGCCTTCCAGTATCGGAAGGGGACTTATAGGGGTGCTGGGGATGGACTCTTCATTAGGGACTGTAGTGATAGGACAAGAAGTGATGGGTTCAAACTTAAACAGAAGAGATTTAGGTTAGATATAAGCAAGAAGTTCTTTACTGTGAGGCTGGTGAGGCACTGGCACAGGTTGCCCAAAGAAGTTGTGGCTTCCCCATCCTTGGCAGTGTTCAAGGCCAGACTGGACAAGGCCTTGAGCAACCTGGTCTAGTGGAAGGTGTCCCTGCCCATGGCACAGGGGGTTGGAACGGAATGATCTTAAGGTCCTTCCCAACCCAAACCATTTTATGATTTTACGATTTAACAGAAGTCTCACAGGTAATTAACTGAATCACAATAAGTTTTATCAAAGTCAGTACCTGATCACAGGACAGTGGATTCATATGTGCATACCTGTGTGCAGACCAATTTCAATGCAGGCCAAGAACTCAGAGTAGTGGTATTTGCCTCCTCCAGCAATGAACACACTTTGAAACCCACCACTATGGTACTGCTTGCCTGCCTGCAGAGCTGTGCAGGCTGTGGGAAGCTACAGGCATCGCAGAGGTGAGGAGGCATAGAGAGCACCCACCCCGTGGCTCATTTTGGCTACCTGAATGTCATGGCACAGGGCAACGGATGAAGTTACATCATGGCTGGGGAAGGAGCAGCTCAGAGATCTCTTGGCTCCTGGAGCTAGGGAACAACCTCAGCCCCACCCAGGTTTTATTTCATCTAGGCTGAACTTAGAATCAGACAGATTATTTTATTTTCTAATGTGAATGTGCTTTTGTTACAAGAAAGTTGGATGTAATTTTTATTCCTGGAGTAGATTTTGCCTTGATTTATATAATCAGTGAAATCCCATTGACGTCAATGGAGTTGCCTGGATATAAGTAAGGGCAGGCTTTGGCCCCAGTGTTCATGTCATTTGTGGTAATAAAAAGAATGTCCTAATTCTCCTAAAGAGTAATTGGAGACTAAAAGCACAATTACTTTAACAAGTGTTTCCACTGCTTCTTTGCTTAAAATTCACATGAACTTGTTTGTTGTTTTTAACCCTTTCTTCATTTCCTTAAACTTAATTGCCATTGTTGTAGAAGATAACAGTAACTATATGAATTTCACAGATTCAGTAGATTATGGGAAGCATAAGGAGAAATATTCCCATGTCATCTTTATTTTCACTGACGATCTTCCAAGATCATCTTCATGATGTGGCTTGTATTATGCTAGTCTGGCACAGTTTTTCCAATAGCTCAAAAGTTGCTCAAGAAAAATATTCAGCTTGGAAATGTGTCTTCTTTTAAAGTGCTAGACATTTTAAGTCATAAGACTATGATACAGTCAAACTGTGAACAACATTTATCTTGGCTTGATGAACATCTCTCTTCAGGGCCAAACAACAACGAATGGCTAGCGCTCCCTGGGGAAACAGTTGCCAAAGGAAGCATATCCGTACCTTCCAGAAGATGTTGCATCAGAGATAATGAGGAAGTAGTTCATTTCACAGAACTAAGCAAACTCCCTGGTGCACTGCATGTTCCAAATACCCTCATGGTTTCTCAGAAAGATCTTACTGTAAATACAGACAAAACCTCTGCCTACAGCAACTGCCAATGTATAAGAAAAAGATAATGTAACATGTATGATTTACCACCAGGCTGATGCTGCCTTTAAAATACAGCCTCACCTATTACATAGCTTTATATTGTAAAATAACTTTTGCTTTTGAGTAAATTAAGTGTGAGTATGTTATAGAAGTTAAAAATTCCTCATCTATTCCTCGAAGAGGCCGTTAATCTGGTACTCCCATGCTCTGCTTATCAGCATGCCAAAACATAACTCTAGAAGGAACAGAACACTTCACAGACTCAATCCCACTCTGGATTTTAGTTTTATGCTCGTATCAGTAACAGTCTGTGCTTCACCATGGTTATACTACATAATTGGACTTAGTATCTGAAGACCATTTTACAATGATTAGACTAGAAGGCCTTTTTTCATCAGAAGCAATTTGTTCTGGATTTCAGGTAGTCACATAACCTGGTTCTGAAAGTGCAACTCTTTGCTCATGAGAGCTCACAACTCTCCGGCCTCATGATTCCAGAAATGTTTGGTTAATGCATCACCTCTAAGCAATGCCGTCTGGAGACACGGCAAATGAGAAACAGTAGCTTCAGTAGTTCAAAACAGTATTTCTAAATTGCAAGATTACTGCTCTTGTTAAGTGTAACTTTCTTAGGAAAACAGCCAGCTGCACATTAGTTCATAGCCTTACAGTCTCTCACAGTCTGCTCCTGCCCTAGCACACTCTTTGGATCAGCTGTGCTCATCTCCTGCTTTCTAGGAAGTGATACGTTTTCAAATGCAGTTATGTAAAATTGAGCATTTCAAATACATGACCTGTATTGGTCTCTCTTAAATACATACAAGCATTCAACAGTGTGCTTGAGGACAAAACCAGGATTCAGCTATGTAAAGGGAAGGCAGAAATGAATCAGAATCAAATTAAATATCTTTCAAGCATGAAAGGCATATGTTTACCCAAAGCATCTAAAAACTAGCCATCAAATTCAAGTGTCTTTCAGCCCTCTACAGTTCTTAATGAAGTCACCTCAGCACAAAAACCAGAACTTGTGAATTGCAACGCCAGCAGGATAAGATGAAGCACCTTACCTGCTACCTTGACCTGGGTGGGTCTGCAGGCTTTGCATGGCAGCACTTGGAACTCTTCCGCCTGGTACATGGAGTAGTCGGTGCTTGCAACCACCAGCCTGTCTCCAGGTTCCCATGAGCTCACGTCATCCACCAGATTCAGGACCGTGCTGTTCACATTGGTGTCAATGGTTACCGTAAGCTTCGGTTTCACTGAAAAGCCAGAATGGAAGGGTGGAGAATTCAGTTAATCTTATCAGAAAATGTTTGCTCCCCCCCCCTTTTGCCTGGAATGCCACCAAAAATGATGATTTCATCATGCAACAAAAAATACTTAACTCTTCAAAACATGGCTCTTACTGGCTTTGGCTTGGAAAGCGAGCAAACAGGGAAGTGTTTTCCTTCAGTTACAGGCAGGTGGATTTTCCACTAGTCCCAGGACTAAATTTAAATGTAGCTCTTAGTGGTTCCTTTTCACCACACCCACTGAGCAGCAGCACTTGTGGGTGCCGGGCACTGTTATTTACAGCAGCCAAGTGGTCTTTAACTTAATGACTGTTTTTTCCAGCAAAACACCAGTCTTCCACACCTCCTTTTCCCGCCAAAGAATCCTCATGACCTGTCTAATGACGAGGTCAGGGACAGCGGTGCTGGAATCAATAACTACAAAATAAAGTATTACTTTCAAAACCTGTTGTCTTTGCACGCTCCAATTGACGAATTCTGCCTCATCCAGAAGTGCTTTAGTAAAAGACAAGGTATTACAGGAAAGGACTTGCCAAGTATTTGCCATAGCCTTCCTGGGTTTTTCAGACACCACCCTCTTGCCTCTGTTAGTGCTCAGGAATTTTTCCTGAGATAAATTGTGCTGAAGATTTATCTGTGTTCATGTCAATAGCCCAGCCCAAGTTTTAGCTTGACTCAAATGTTCTTGCACAGAACAAGAGCCAGTCATCAGAAGACTATTTCTGCTTTTCCCTGGTCCGGCTTTCAGACATGGGGCTCATACCAGATCTGCCACACAGGAACCGTACTCTGTAGTTCTGGCAGCCCTCGCCTGTCTGGTCCTTCCCATGGCACAGAAACCTGTAATCATGGCCACCCTTGTAGAACACTTCAGTTGTTAAATGAGCTCCATCAAGCGTCATTGCCTGGAATGAGAATAGAAAAATAGGTGATACCTTGAGGTGAAGAGATTTCACCAAAGCACTGGTGCTATCAGAAGAGGCCTTTGCTTTGTTTTGGGTGATGCACAACAGTTGTGTAACAAAATATGACTGTTATGTGTGCTATGCAGCTGCACTCCAGCTGGTGCTCAAACACAGCTATTTTATCCACAAGCTGCACAGATTATTGCTAGGTGCATGCCTTTCTTTTGCATCTATATTAGACCATGTACTTTTTTGGGAGGAGTATTCTGAGCTTCACTAACATCTGCCTCGGTGCCCTAGATTTTCTCTTGCCATTGGTTTGAGGGTAGATGAAAACACTGAACACAGATGATTGTACCCAAATGAACTAATGATTTCAAGCCTCTTCACTGCACTCATTTAATGTCTTGTGGGTAGGCTATGTCTGAACCTTGCAGAAGGAAGAGGTAGGGGTCTTATTTCTTCTTAGACTAGATGAGTCTCTAACAAAAAAACCCACCAAACTGCTGTATGACCCATTGCTCCAAACAGAAAAAGAAAAGATGGCTTTTTCTCACATACAAGTGCCACTCTGTAGAGCTGCCTTGAGAAAAAAGGCTGTATCCTGCAAGAAGCCGTGCAATATGTAGCCTTGCCTGTGTTCCTGCTGGAGCCTTGTGACTCCTCAGGGTCATGCTGAATTTCACATTCCAGTTCTATAGCTTGCAGTTCTCTCGACCCTTTCACAAAGATGCGATGCATTGCATTGGGCAATCCAAATATCATGTGCATTTTTACAAGGCACCAACAGATAAGCCATCTTTCAATGAAGGGTCTGATCCCGATTCTCTCACTCGTGCAGACCTTCCTTATTAACGCATACACCACACTGCCATGTACAGGATTAACACCATCAGCTGAAGGAATGTGCCTCTGGCTGTGCAGCATGTCTGTTATTATAATCATATCTTCAATTTCCTTGTATGTAGCCTAGCTGGAGCAGACCAGCTGCTCTAAATCAGTGTAACTTTATGAAAGCAATGAGCAACACCAGATTACACTACCTAAGGATTTCCCTAAGATCTGCAGGATAAAACAAAATAATCTCTCTTGCTTTTAATATACATGGGGGAAAAAAGTAACTGTGATTTAACAGTAGAGGAAAAAAAAGTTTGTTTCTTGAAAAGAATATCTTTCTTGTTTCCTTTTTAGTACGCGTGCTAGAAGGGACTGTGTCATAACAAACATCTGACTCCTGTTTTGAACTAAGTTGTCACTTCTAATATATGTATATTGAAGCAAAAATTAATATGGATTTGCTAAGACCTGGCAGAAAATTATAGTGCAGGTTTTTCCTTTCTGTTCAAGGGGAGATGTTTTATGACATCTGGCTCTGGAAACTTTCACTCATACTGTCAGCATTCCCATTTACTTCAATAGCTGCATTCTTGTGAATAACAACAACTCTGCTAGTTCAGAGTATGCAGACTACCAGATATGAAGTATTTTATTGTCTTTTGCTAGGCAATGCTTCTGCTATAGTTCTTTTACCAGGTAGACATATACAGTATATGATGAACATATGCAAAAAAAATCTTGGTATTTGTCTTTTTGGGGTTGGGTGTTTTTTTCCATTAAAGAGGCTTTTGCAGTCTCGGGAAAGGTATATGATTTCTCATCAACTTGCTGGCATGATAGCATAATTTGCCTGATGGCAAAAAAAAATGTTTAGCCCCAAACGGAATTCAGATTTCTTTTCACAGAGACAAAAGAATTCACTCAAAAAAATGGCTGCAAGCTCACTGACAGCTGGTAGCTTTACCTATTACAGCTGGTAGCTTTACTATCTCATTGCATTCTATGATTAATTTTTTTAGGGAGGGTCCATTCCAAGACCATTTAAAAACTTTGAAATTTTCATGGGGTTTTTTTTCCTTTTCATCTTCCATCAGGGAACCACATATTTCATGATAGCATCTGTGCTGTCCATGACCCCATCTGTACTCCTTTTCATGCCAGAAGCCAGAATTTACTGAAAGGAGCTCAGTTCTTTAAACTTTTGTCTCAGAATGATACAAGATACCAGATCTTGTTGGTTATGTATTAGAGCAGTAAAATAATTCGTGTCTTTTATTCAGAAATAAAAATCACTGACAAGCACAATTACTTTGGGGTTCAGTGTCAGTCCAAAAAAGGACTTCTTTAAAGCAAGTGGTAAGCAAGCCTACCTGGATGTCAATGGGTTGCCTACAGATTTTATCAGGATGAGCAGCTTTGAAGTCAGAAAGCTTCTCCATGTCCTTATATCTTGCTTTATCAGGCTTCTCAAACCACTCTGTCCATTCTACATCTGTAGACAAGTGCAAACAAGAAATGCAATTTGTAAGTCAAACTTCATGAATGTAGCAAAAATGCTATTATTCCCAAGTTTCTTCCCTGATGATCTGATTCCTGCCTCTTCTGCCAGTCTGTCAGAAGCTTTAAATGATGCTGTGAAGTGTAATGAGCTAAGAGACAATGGAGTTATTAAAAGCTGCATAATTGGAGTATGCAGTATGATCATTATTAATAAGAATGGATTTTGATCTGTGTCCTCCTTAGCTGCCTTTTTTGATCTTGATATCAAGTTATGACCAGTTACTGTATGTTGCCCGTAACATGGACATGATGACTATGCAGTCAAAAGAAGTAAGAGGTTGTGTGTGATCTCTTAGATCATAAAAGATGGAATTTAATACCCAGTGCAGTAAAGGAAAAAGGATCCCAGTTATTCAGAGAGTCCTGGAGACAACTGGGGAAAGAATCTGTGCATGTTCTTTACTTAGGGTAGCGGCAACGTAAATAGCAGCTAGCAAGTTCACTCTTCCCAAATGGAAAAGTATTTCAATAAAAAGGATGATTCGCCCTATTTGTCAAGTCTTTACCACCGAGATAGATGGCAAACAGGCCTCTTACCTTGAACCCACTCACTAGCTGAAGAGACGTTAAAATGTTCTCCATTCTCAGCTTTGAATAGTTTGAATACTTTGGCCACAGCTGACCCTTTGTGACCTGTACAAAAACAAACATTGGTAAAATTCCTGAAAGCAATCAATAAAGTCAGAACTGAAAGGTAGTGGTTCCTCTGTGTGTTGGCATATTTTGGCTACATTATCCTGAATTAGCCCTGCACAGCTTCCAGAAAAAATTACTGATCTTGGAATGTGGCTTCAGACACTTTTATAACTGCTTGGACAATCAGGAGGAAAAATCTTCAAAAACCAAGAGAGGATACAAAACCAGTGTATTTTTTGTAATTTATTGCTATTTTTATTTGATGTTGTAGCAAGCTCTGTTGTTTGCTGCTCTTGAAAATGTCATAAAAAGGCACAGACTCAAAAGTCTTCAGCTTGCAAGAAAATGGTTTTGCAGTTTTTGAGGCTATCAATGCAGGATACACTGATTAAATTTTCAGCTGGGGTGGACTGGGTTTGTTCCATAGCCTTGTGTCTGAAAGAGGCAGTGTCTGAGTTCTAAGGAGTTGTGTGGATTTACACTGGTGCAGGATCTCACCCTTTAATCTCAGGGTTTGGATAATCCAGGTTGTACCCCCATAGACACTCAGCTGCTTCAACTGTATTGATAGGAATAATACACAGAGAGAGGAGTCAAATATATCTAACCATCAACTGCCCACAGCTTTGATGTAATGCAGTGTCAAGTGAAAACACCATGAGCAAAACTGATCTCAGCCATAAGTCCAGTACCTTCCAGATATAATGTCAAGCTAGCATTACCTTGATATTCAATGTGGTCTTCAACAGAAGAGGAGGGATTTCCTTTAACAGTAATAAAACTCCATGGGTGCCTGGAAAATGAAAATGAGAAATTATCAAGTTATGTCATGTATGAGATGAATATTTTTTATGGTTCAATGTTTTTGCATTTCTCAGGGGCAACAGATTCAAACCAGTTTGATTAGTGTGAAAGACACCTGAGTTAAAATTAAAAATATCTTAACAGACTGTATTTGTTCAGTAAATACATCAAAAGAAAAGGACTTTTGAAGACAAATCCCCGCTTAGCACACTCCTATAACAAGTGTATTTCTCTTTTAAATGCATGTTTAAAGAGGCTTGTGATAGACCTAAGGGATGCTGGCAGCTCCCTGGGGGCCTGAAAATCTTTTGTGTCTGTGTGTGCATACACTAAAGAATATGAAAAAGAAACCACTTCTGCTTAAATAAATTTAGCTCATGTTGAAACCTTGTATGTCATAATTGTCTTTGGAATGACCCATGAGAATTTCTAATAGACAGACTGGCTGGCAAAAGACAATAAAAAATACCTAGATAGTCTCTGGGTATCTAGTTTCCTTATTTTGAACATTGAACAGAGATAAATGCTTATGAGTCTGAATTGTGTGTTCAAATCTGATCCTATGTCAGAAGTAAGGTCATTACTGCCTGATGGTTATTGGTTAAGCAGGTTCAATAGCTATCAGCAACACTGGAGAATGACCACATGGATGGATGAGGTCATGGAGGCGATGGAGAGAGTGAAGTGCCTCCCAACCTTGGAGGTGAACCCAATTAATAGGGGTCAGGGGGAGTTTTATCTTCAAAATAGAAGTACTTCAGGCATATCTGCTCTTAATGACTAACAGTATTAAAAAAATACGCTTTTAGCGTTATAGGGAGACTGGCACTCCTACCCTAAATTTAGCAAATATAAAATCGTATCTCTATAGGTATAAATACCCTGTGATTTCAATTGCATCAAGATTCACCCTTGTGTCTTGCAGGTCACCTTACATTTACCATCTGCTGGTAAAAGTGAAGTTATAAACCATTCTGGGGCTTCAGAAGAAAACATATACAGACATTGACAGACAACCACTATGACACACACAAATCACCGCTGGCATGAGCTGGGCTTTGCTGGGATTTGCAGCTCTGGGGGCAGCAGGAGCAGGTTCTGAGTGAGCACTAGTGCATCCCATGCCGTGCTGAGGCCCCACACATGCACTGGACACACACCCCCAGGGGAGGCAATCCCAGTGGCGTCCTTGGCCTGAGCACAGGACAGCATCAGTGGAAGCTGCCAGCACAACTGCCTCGGGAGCCTGCCAGGGAGCCATATGCTCCTGCTGGAAAACTTGTCTGTGTGCCAATTGCCAAAGGCAGTGCTGGGCTGTAATCTCCATCCAGGGAGAGAAGGGAGGTGGGAGCAGGAGGGACACTATTGCTCAGCAGGCAAGACTGATTTTCTTTTTTGGTCATAAAATTCAAAACAAATGACAAAAAAATCCCAAAACAAAACAAAGCAAAAAAAAAAAAAAAGAAGGATGAAAAAATGATGGCCCAAAAATAATCTCAAAAAAATAAACTAAAAAAGAAGCTATCTCATTTTGCAACTCAAGGTTTTGCCCTATTTCATATGTTAAAATACTTGTTTCTTCCAGGTGTTTAACAGTTACAAAATAGTTTTAAAGTCGCTCAACCCTGAAACGTAAGGACACATTCAGTCTGTTCGGGCTATATGAAATGAAGGGATTGGCAAGTCCAGAGCCAAACCAGAGATATTTGAGTGGGTTCCAAAGAGAATAACTATGTCATCAAGTGCAGAAAGGCTTTATTTTAATTTATTAGTTAAAGAAATTATAAAAAAAAAAGCAGTTCCCACTTAAAGAGTAAACTTACTTTTGAGAAGGAAAACAATAAAGGAGGAATGCAAGATTTTCCTTTCATTCCTAATGTTTTGGACTCAGCAAAGAGTTGCCAGGAGCACCTCTTTCGATAAATCAGCATTCCTCATCAGTTTTGCTACAGCAAGTGGGAGTTGCACAACTTTACAATCTGGTTGAATATGGAGCAACTGGAGATAGATATGGAGATTTGTCCATATAACCACCAATCCATGGCTGAACAGCCTGACACTAGCGGCATCTTACAAAATGTGAAATAGACATTCTCTAAGCCAAATTCTTGCCTGGGGCTTATGCTGCCCTTGTCTCAGTGATGCCCATGGTCAGCCCCAGCCATCAGCAGGGACCTGAAAAGTTCTGACACGCAGGAATCAACAGGACCAGCCAGCAAACCCCGGGTGCCAGCACTGACTGGTAAAAGCATGCACACAGCCATGTTAGAAAGAAAAACCCATCCACCCTCCTCTGTCAGAGCCTGCCTTTAACGTATGTGTGTGTATGCAATTTTCTCACCCTGAGCACTTGTCTTTTAAGATAAATCCCAAAAAACACCTGTCAGGTATATACATACTTATTCATGTTTATAGATGTGTCCGAAACATAAACCAATGTGTCTGCATCTTGTTACACTAAAGTGAACTAGAAGTTCAATATGCTTAAGGAGAAAATCTTGGATGCATGTGACAAAGCTGCCTGTCTTCCACTCTGCCATAAACTGTCTTTGTAAATCTGGTCCCAGCTGCTATCCAATGTTTGTTTTGAAAGCTGATGAACTTAAACCCTGAGAACACTCCTAAAAATGCAGTTTTTTAAATAATGCACCAAGTTGCGGGTATTTTTCCATATATCAGTATGCTGTCAGGAGACAACATTTAGCAGCAACTACTACATTTTGGTAACCACAGCATCCTTATTTATATAAGGAAATATTGTGGTATTGCAAATAACAGCATTAGCTGGTAAGGATTAGCTTTTTTACTACAAACAATAGCAGTGTGGAAAATCACACTTCTTTGGATACATTTCTATGGTATTCCCATTACAAGCATTTACGGCAAAGAAGTGAGAAACTAGCATTAAAACACCACAGCAGCCTACAAATATCAATGCCATTTACTTTTATAAACATATGCCAAACCCATCAATTCCTTCCTGTTGCACAACTGGAAAAAATAGTATAATGGGTAAAAATCTTCTGTTTCCCTAATTTCAGTCTTTCAAAAGAAACCCAGAAGGTTACTGGGCATTAATATAGGTCTGGGTATTTGAGAGAAATCATTGCATTAATGGAGGTAGCCTGGTTTTGAAGACTATTTCTGCAGCCTTGGTTGATTCTTTGAAATGAGTTGTCTGATACAAATGAATCCCTGTAATATTTGACAAAACCACTTCGCCAAGCACCCCGAATCTTACTCCATTTGCACATGCCCAGCTGATACTTCCACAGACTGCTGTATCCAGTCACTTCTCCCTACAAGGCAGATATTTTCCTTTCTGTTCTGCAGTGACCCTCTTAGTGCCTCTTAAATAAAGAGCCTACATAAATTCAGATAAACACAATAAATATAATGGCTACAGTTGGGTAAATAGCAAATATTCTCAACAGTATGTGTGCCAGCACAGACACTGTATTGGCCTCAGGAGTATTTACAGCCCACAGCATAAATTCATGCTTGCTAAATTTCTGTGCTGCACAAGTATTATTAGAATATGTATTTAAGACAAACTGAAGGATATGCTTTATACATGTCTATATGTATTCAGCAAGGGCTACACGGCTATTATTCTACCCTCCTTAATGCTCAGCTCATCCAATCCACTGTGTTTAGATATGCTGCTTAAATCTTTGGGGGATGGCCTGAAAATAAATTGGAATAAGTAACTTATGGGAACGCATCTTGGAAAAACATCTTTTTAAATCTGAATCATATGCTATTCCTCAATCTGCTAATAAAAATACCCAATATAGACCCTGCGTGCATCTCAAACTATCTAATTAACTGCTAAAACTTCACATTGAGAAGTTTCCCTTTTTCTTTTTTTTTTCCCTTGTGAAAGAACTTTGTGCCTTTGAGAGAGTGGAATTATTTGGACATCTCAGGAGCATAATAAAGCCTCTGTGCTGGGAGAACTGGCAGGACTGGCACATACCTAAACCCAAGGTGGAGGAAATGCTTGCTGCCCAGTTTGGTCATTGCTTTTCTGGCCGTGTCATCCAAGTTTCTAGATCCTTCATCATTCACTGCAACTGACAGGATCATGCCATTCTCAACTCTGCCCAAATACTGGGCAAGACGTATGCTTTCCTCTTTTGCTCTGTAGGTGTCAAACCTAAAGGGATAAAAACACCCAAAAAACATTTAATTCAGTGGGCATCACAGCTTTATGTACTGAAAAGCAAGTGATAGAAAGAAATAACTCTTCTGCATTGTTTACAGTAATGATATCGCGTGGTAAAAGCACTTGTCTAACAGGGTATATTAGGGGTTTCTGTTAAGCCAAATTGATTAAACTCTAGTTGGCAGAATACCAAGATAGTAACATTACTCAATCTTCAGTTTGGAGATTACTGGTCTAGAAAGAATTGTATATATATGCAGTAATACCCATTTGAACAAGATATTAAACTGCATGTTTCTGAGCTTGCTAAGATGCTGTCCCCAACCTGTTCCCAAAGATCCTTACATCTAGACAGTTGAAAAGTCACTCACCGATCTGAATGGACAACTGCCCCAGTCTTTGGGTCAATAACATGGACAATGACACCCCGATGGCCCCAGCTCCTTTCAAAGTAATATCCACCTTCTTCCATTCCACCAGGATGAAGAGTCTTGTTTAAGAAAGTCCAGGACAGCTTTTTCTTTCCATGGATTTCAAGAGTGCCACCCTTACTTACTCCAAGATACTTCTTCCCAAAGTAGGGATTCGGCTGGCTGCCATCATCCGCTCTGCAGCAGGAAGGGAGGAAAGGAATAGGTTGGGGTTTGTACCTGACAGCCAAGGAGTCCCTTTCCTTGTTCTGCTGTGGCCCAAGGAGAAATGATTTGCTTGCATTTCTGTCATGGTTTCATGATTTGCAATGCGTTTCTTTCAACTACTCTAACAATTAGCAATTGCCCACACTGTACAGAAAATAAACTATTTGAAATAATACTAGCAACTACTGGAGACCAGCAGCAGTCCAGAATGTAGATTATACATGTATTTATTATACCCAGGCCAGAGGAGGCCTGAAGCCCAGACTGAGCAACACATTTGTGTTTTTGAATACTGGAGGAAGTTAGGGCCCTAACCAGGAGCTAGGAGGGGTAGTGGTTGTTAAGTATGAGTTTGGCATCCTTGAAATTTTGAGATTAAAAGAACTGCTTGGATTTTAAGACCATTCTGGAAAAACAGCATGCTGCTTTTCTTGCATGCCCAAATATTCCAGTAGGATTTGAAAACCAGAACCAAAACTGAATCGATTTTTTACTGGCCATTTAAATTGTTTAAAAATCTATTTAACTTTCCACAGAGCACTGATGATAAGTATATATGAAAAAATGTAATTTTAAGGAGCATTTCTGGTCCTTGTTGTAGAAGAGAGATCCTAGAAAGTTCTAAGACAATATTTTATCATGCATACTTACCGCCCATATAAGATGATAATCACGTTGCTTTGGTAAGGGCACATCTCACTGCCAATATGTAATTCTCCATCATTTTCAATGAGTATATGTCTGGTACGCAAAATGATAGGCTGCACATCATCTTTAATGACCAGTTTTCCTAAGTAGAAAAGGTCATGACATTTGGTTTAACACACCAGAGCTCATCAGAGGTGGCGATACCATTCTGCTAAACCCAGCGCTGGGCTCTCATTTCAGTTTTTGAAAAGTTCTGCCCATCCCCCCCCCCCAAGCAGCTCTCAATAGAAATACTAAAGACATTACATGTTTTGTATTCAGTTCAGTTCTTGAAGAACACAGTTAAGGTTTGTGTGGAAGAGGTCTCATTCAAAACTGAGACAGAAGTTCAGAGTTAAGATGAATAAAAAAGCTATTCATGCTAACAGCCACCAGCAACACTATGTCCTTAGAGGAAGAGAATCACATAAGTATCTGCCCTGTCGTGAGACCCTGAGAACATTATTGGAGTATGATGTTATCAGGACTATGATTTAGTAAAAGAAATGTTTTTGAAGCAAATCACAGTAGTAGAAGTAATGAGTATACTGAGCTACTTTTCTAAAGAAAGGACAGCAAATAGGTTGATTATAATGGCTAAAGAGCTGATAGCATCTCAGCTACCACCCACCCTTGTACTGAATTAAAGTTCTGTTTGTCCACTAGCTATCCAGTTCTCAGCATGGAGCAGGAAGCTCTCCCAGCATGAAACAGAGTGATTTAAATAGCCACAGTGGGAAGAACACTTCACCCAGCCTTGCCGCTAGCATGTTTTACCTCCATCAGTGATGTGGATAGAGTGGACAGTCGCAGAAGAAGAGAGAAGGAACTTCCTGCCATTACTGATCTCAATGTGGTTTTCTTCATTGTGACCTGGGTTCCAGTTTTCTAGCTCAGGATCCTTATCAGGACATGTGACAGCTGCTTCTGCTGTGTAAAGATGGAGAGTGAAGACAATTACCACTTGCTCAGTGCAAGACAGAAAGCTCCATATCTGGGCAACTTTGCAGTATCATTGCAATACATTCATACGTATCATGCAGTATATTTACAGTACGTTCTTGGTACCCCACTTTGCTGACTCCCTGGAACACAGCAATACCTTAGCAGAGCAAAGCACATGTGGGTCACAACCAAACGAAAGCAAAGAACAGTTTAAGCTGCATGATTTCCTGTTTTCAGGAAGCATGGAAAAACCTCCTACCTAATGCAAAGGAGCCTTGCAAGGGATGCAGTTTCCAGAAAACAATCTAGAAAGGATGTAATTGAGCCCTTTGTGCAGTGACATTAGCTTCGTTCATACTATCCAGATACAAAGCCTTTCACAAGTCCAGGGGAAATGTTGATGAAAGGACAAAACAACCACTGCCTGTTAAAATGTCCCACAAATGTCTGCAAGGTTTAAGAGGCCTTGTTTAATATAAAGATGTTAAAATATATTTGCATACTGTGTTTTCACTGGAAAGTAAAAATGCTCAAACTAACATGAAAACACCAAACAACAAGGAATTACCAGTCCACCCAGTAACTGAGACAAGGAATCATATGATTCTCCAAATCATAACAGAGAGCAACAGGAATCTCACAAGAGAAACTCTGGGTTTCTGAGGTTTTCCAGGCAAAAGCAATAAGGGTCCATTCACATTGAGTTCACACCTCACCAGCATCCACACACAAATGTGATTATGGACTGCCATGACGTGTTAGTCTAAAGGGCTCTCATACCAACCCCAAGAGTCCCATGTTGTAAGTATTTACTTAAGATAAAATATTTCCCTGATACAATCTCATTTGCTATGTGAGCCTCACATCTTGCTCTAATCAACAAAACAGTGAGTGCTGGAGTCCCATGTGTGATGCATGTTTTCTGAGGGTAGCAACCTTTCTAATCCTAGGAAGCTGAGGTCAGTGGAAGTTTGAACAATGAGCCCTTTGCAGTCAGAAGGGGTTGGGAGTTCTCACCAGCTCTCCAATTTTTAATCCTTTAAAACCAAAACACCATCGGAAAACTACAGGATCCACAAATCGGTGATAACAGATATGAGATAAACACCTTGACTTCAGCAGGGTTATGTCTCTGGCACTTAGTATAGTAAATCTGAGTAGGTTTTGCCCTGCAGACACTAATCCATTCAGATAATGGAAAGGACAATGATGTGAATCTATGCAAGGATTCCCAGCAGTTGTGTGCTGCCACTGTGAAACTTGGGGGACAACTGCAATTCCACAGCAACAGGAGCAAAATCTGTTCACCTGAATTTCCTCCCAGATTCCTCCACCAATTTCATGGCTTAAGAAAACAGTCATTTAAGAAAATAGAATTGGACCAGCCACTTCCTTAATGTCTCCAGAGACTCATCAAATACTAACAATTCAATATAAGCAAAGGACATTTCTCATATGGGCAACGTATACTTTGGCTCTTTTCAAGCTTTTCCCATATACATGAATGATCAAATCAGAAATCATCTACCAAGTAGCAAGTCAAATACTGACAAACATCCAGGACCTGATTTTGATACCACTCGTGCCAGCTGGAAGCTGAAAATATATCAGTAATGTCAGAGGCAGTTTTTCTCATGTACAGTAATTGAGGAAAATAATAAGGAGTTTCTGGTTTCCTACCAAAAGACACAAAGAGTTTATAAGATGACTGTTTTGGGCAAGAAATGGAACTTGCAATGTAAGTAGATGTTCAAATATAACTGCAAAACAAATTAAGAAAAAATGAGCTGCTATTCCCATAAGAATAAGGATAATAGAAAAATTTGCACATGATGAGAAGCTAAATAAAACCAAAAGAATTGATTCAAATGTAGAGGTATAATTTATCAGATAGATTAAGTGGAGAGGCTAAAGGCTTGTTCATTTTTCCATTTACTTGGTTATGCTAGTGTCCAGAAGAGCTTTCTGCAGTCTCAAAAGATTACTTGTGCCCCCCAAATTCATTATTTAGAAACAGAGAGGTAGGCAGTGAAGCCTAAGGGGAAATCAGGAGAAATTTACATTGATGTTTGGGATGTCAACCAACAAAAGCCAACACAATCAGAACAAAGGAACCAAATTCCCAATTTCGTTAACTAATTTGTACCAGAGAGAAGGAGCTGTGGAAGGTGGAGCACATCATCCACCCTCTGCTGCACAAAGGGCACTGGAAGGCTGAGCATCTTCTGGTCCAGGTACCTTGCCAGCTTGCTTGTTACTCTCATTGGCGTTTTTTGCAACTTCTATCCAGCACAAGGAACTAACTGCATGTTTTGCTTCTTGACAAAAAGGGCCTGAGCATGGCAATGAAATGTTGCTTCATGTAGCAGTGCATGGGGCAAAACATATGGTCTCTTTGTTTTAAGATACAAACCCTCAAATTAGCTGTATTTTGAATATGTATACCCAGTTTCTCTTTTTGCCTTTAACTACTTAGGAAAAAGGTAGCTTGGAAGAGGCAAAACTCAAAGGGCAGGGATGTCCCACCCTAAAGGATTTTGCTGTCCACATCTGGGCTTGGGCAATGCTGCACAATGCTTGACTTCACCTCCCACAGCCACAGCCATTAGGACCTGAGGTTTCTTTTGTTATTTCTTTGTGGCAGTTTGTTGGATTTGGGTTTGTTTTAAGAACACATGGAAGAGGGATTCCTGAGGGTACTTTCACCTGCTCAGAAGCTGCCCTCCAGCTGCCCTTGATAGTGAGTACTGGCACATCAGAAAACTGCTTTTCTCCTGAGTTTTCTCACTCTGCCCTTGAATCATATCTTGCTACATGAAGAAGAGTGAAAAGCTGCTCTATCTAAAACAGCAATGTCGTTATTTAAAAATAACATTACAAACCATGCCCTTTTTCCCCATGGCAGGAAAACTTACCTGTGCTTACAGAAGAGATTACAAACAGAAGAAAAAAGACATTTCCAGCCAGATACTTGGAGATAAGTAGAGCCATTCTTCAGGATGTTTAATTCTCTGGATGGATAGCTGTGAAGAAAGAATAGCAAGAAAATGTCACTTTTTTGGTCCAGTTCATGCAAAAACCGTTCAGTGCACAAAAACCAGGTTATATCCAGCTTTATGCCACTTCCAATCCCATTCAGCTCTATAGCTGAAAACACCTTTATGCCGGTTCAAGAACAGCCCAAGCAGAGCAAGAAACCTCGGGCAGCTCCTCACTGTTTGTTTGCTTTAGGATAAACCCACTTCGGAATCCAAATAGACACTCAAAAAGCAACCACCAGATGTAACCAAAAACGCCTTAGGAATGCAGTATAAACACATTCAGTCAAGACTCTCTAGGGCTGCATATTCACATGTGCAAAAAGGTAATGAAACACAACAGAGGAGGTGTTTGCAGAGTGACAAATTCTCACAAAGTAACCTTTCAGTGCCACCTCTCTCCCCTCATATTCCCCACACATTTTTAGCAATGGTGTTTTGTGGACCCCTGAGATAAACCATACTCACACTTCCAGTCTGAAGCATGTAGTTTCTTAGATTTCAAATCCAAGAAAACATTGTATATTTAGTGCGCCAACCCAGAATTTTCTTGCAAAACCAAAAGCTGCTTTTGAAACCAGTCTACCTAATGTTGTTTTCATTTCCTCAGTAGCCAATCCCCATCAAAAACAAACAAGCAGTGTCATGAAAGTCAAAGTTAGGATTAATGGGATTCTTTCCAGTCTCCAGTGATTGATTCTGCAGCTCTGCCCTGCACTCATGACAATTTACTGACACATGTGTTCAAACTGAGGCAGGGACACACACTTCTGCATTTATAAGGCACTGTTTAAAATTCACATGTAGTCCTTGGAGCCATTAGGTTTTATCATGTAAACCACTATCTGAGGAATACTGAAGAAATGTATTTGCAGCTGTCATGTCATACCACAATGATGAAATAGGATAAACGTAGGCATCACAAAGCTTAGTTAGACGCAAAAAACGGCGACTGAAAACAACTCCACGATGCCCCAATACTTAGGGCAAAAGGCATATGCTATTTTTCATGTCACTTGTTAACACAAACCAAACAAAAACATGAGAAAAAGGTATGCAAGAAGCTATAATTTAATCTGAAGCAAATTTTACAGTGTACATATGCAAAACACACCTGTACTTTCTCATAAAGGTGATACAGCTTGAAGTACAACAATACGTTGATACCACATGTAATCCAGTGATTGTATTAAAAATAGCATTAGGATCAGATTTGTCAGGAAATAATCCATCAGGAAAATGTTTGCTTGTTTTGGTATAGTGTATTTGACAGCTCTGAGCTCTGGAAATAGCATAGACTGAGGGCTTGGTACAGTGTATCAGGTGCTGAAATGCTGTTACAGAACAGCAGAAAAGAGGAATGCGCTTAGTAATGCTATAACTTTGAATGCTATACATTATCAGAGCACAATATCATCACCATGGAATTTGTGCCAGACCCAGGATGCACGTGTCTGACATTTTAACAGCATTAACCATCAACGTTTGATAAGACAGGGCTCTTTTAAACCAACATTATTGCAAGTATGCCCAAAATACAGCAGTCATCATTAAAATGTCAAGGTTTATTAGGGATTATTGCACAGCCTAATCTGCAAACCCAATCAGTAGATTCTGCTTTAATGATAAAGGAAAATCTAAAAAATGGTAATAGTACAGGATGGTCACTGCAGATAAATAGTGTTTCTTACAGCGCAGACAGTTGTATGTTCGTGTTGCACAAAGCCAGATTCCAAGTGATAAGTTATTGATCATAAAAATACATTCAGATCATGTAAGTGCTCCCAGAAATATAAAGAAGGGACTGATCTTTTGACAGCGATGGCATGCATTTGCTTTATAGGTAGCAAAACAGCTGTTTTGTTCTGGCCCATTAAAAACACAGAGGACCATCTCTGCTCTGTCCAGTTCATGATGTTGTTTCAACAGCAAACAGGCAAGAAATTAGCGTAGGAAATTTCACAGCTTTTGCTTTCTTTAGAGCCAAGAACTGCACAATACTTACCATCAGGTTCTGCAAAACAGCTTCTGGTATTACATCCCCAGTTGCTCACCAGGGACTGCTTCCCTGATTACATCCATCCTCATAAGCAGAGATCAAAACAAGTAATCAGACACTGGAAAGTCATGTCATTTTTGGAGGTGTCAGCTGTGTGCCAGGCTCCAATGTTTTTGTAGTGTCTGATCTGCCACAGTCCAAAGAATATCCTGCTTACTTTGTGACTGAGGGAGGGTGTTTGATTCAGCTCACAGCGAGCCCGGGGTCATTGTGGTGTTAGTATTAACTGGCACTCAGGTTGGAAAGACTGAAAGCTGACAGGTCCAAGAGGATCCGACTCCTCTGATTCAGCTCTGACTAACACACTACTGGAAAAATGCTACTGGGAGGATAATCTCAGGAATTTTCCTTCAAAGGATCTCAATTAAACATCTTTCCCAAGCATTAGGCACAAACAGTGACATGTTCGATTTTCGTGTTAAATAGAAAAGGAGGAAGAGATAGTGACTCTTTTCATTAATGTCTCCTGCTGGAGGGGGCTCCAGAGTGGTTCTCTGCTGCCAGCCAGCCGTGTGTTAGCTCAGCATTCAGAGTCGTGTGGGGATACAGGCAGCAATATGCTACCTCTCATTTGAACAGGCGCCACGTGGCTGACTTCAGCTCTGATGTAATCAGCAATGTCAACAAACCTCCCTGAAGATTTGGGCACTCTGAGAGCATAAGTGCCGTGCAAGTGTCCTCCTAAGTCTACCATCTCCAACATTTCTCAAATACCATCTGTGACTCCTCTCTTGGGTGAGAAAAGCTTTTTCATCTTGCCACTAAAAGCTGCCTCGCAATGGCAAGTGGGACTCATACCCCTGGATCTGGCAAGGCAGACTTTCTGAAATGATTCCCAGCTGCTGGATCTTTCCAAAAAGTGAACAATAGCAGCAGACAATGCTAAAAGTAAATGCAGGAAACCAGTAGTTCTCAATTGGCTGCTACAGCAGGTGTCAGCAGCGATACTGTACTAGAAAGTGCACAGACTGGAATCCCTATCCACTGCCCTCCCTGCAGTTTTAATGCAGAGCAAACAATCCTGACAGCAAAACAATGAAGAAATGCTCTGAGGAAGTTGGACTGTCCTAAGCATCTCACATGGAGACCCCAAATCCCTAGGGTAGAGCTGAGCTCTCTGGGGTGGCAGAGCCAGCCATCCAGAAACACACACCAGGCTCCAACCTCAACTTGCCACCCTGCCTACCTCTAAAAAAGCAGTTCCCAATATTGGATATTTTAAAGTGCTTTGTAAGACTGGCTTGACATACTTTGAAGGATGTACCTTCAGTGTCTGCTGAAGACAAGGATCCTTTCTGGTATATCAAATGAGGCATAAATGGAAGCATTGACTATCCATTACAAACACAGCAAGGATGGGGGAAAAGCAACACCTATATGATCTCCCCTGAAAAAGATGTCAAGCAGGAGGAAGAAACCTGATGGCTACTACTGCTGCCTCTGCCCACAAAGAGAAAACACAGACCTGTGCAGGACAAGGCAGGGGTCCAGAGCAATCCCCAGAGAAGAACAGGAAAAGCTTATATGGAAAAGATGCCATTTAGCCTGACGAGGAGTAAACTCTCAGCAGACACTAATCTGAACAGGTACTTGAGATGACCTGTGCATAAAATATGTGTTCCCCAGGGACCACCTTCAGCAGGCAAGATGCTCCAGGGGACCCTGATGTGTCTGTGCCAGAGCTGTGGTATGCCCTTCCTGCTCTGGGTAGGCAAACCTGGACCCTCACACTGCCACAGCAGATGCTGAGGTTTCAGTGATTTGTTGGCTGGGTCTGAAGCCTTGCCACAGTGTTTCCTCATTTATATGCAAAAAGCCAACATCAGTTTGGAAGCTGATTCCTAACAGAGAGAAGAGTTGTTTAATTAGCACCTCTGCTACCTTCTTGCTGATATTGTGTGGCAGCAGCTGTCCTCTCACCACACTCAGGGAATTCTGCTTTTTAGCCCCAGTGGGGAAGATGGATTTGAGCAGCACAGTCCCCTTTCTCACCCGAGGACATGCCAGCTCTGGCTATAGTGACATTCCTGTGCAGGGGAGCCTCCATGCACCCAGCCACAAGCACAGCTAGAGCCTTCAGCCAGCCTTACGAATAAACAGGCGTATTCCTAGGGATCGCTAATGAAAATTCTCTCCCAGCCCCAGCACATGGCAGCAGCGTGGCCTCTTGATCTTGTGCTCTGTTTTACTAGCAAGTAGAGGAGGGTTAAACCCAGGAACAGACTTTTCTCAATGGAACCAATACTGGAGTCAAAAGCAGCACTCTGACTTTTTTCCCAATGAACCTTGGTTCCTTGCAAGGAAGAAAGTTCTGCTCATGTATATATAAAGATCACTGCAAGTTTCCTGACGTTCATAAAAATGGATTCTGGAAGAGGAGCATGAGTTAGAGGAAATTTTCAAAATGAATAAATGGAAGGAAACCAGGGTGTTTGTAAAGTTGTTGTGATATTGGCACACTTTTTTGAGATAGAAATAAAAGAGAGGGGAAAGAGTTATTTTAAAGCTATGCTTTTTTCAGATTTAACTTTTGGGGTTTTTGGGGTTTTTTTTACAGAGGCTTACAGACCTGGAAAAGGAGAGGAAGCAATTTTTGGCTCAGCTAAAACAAAATCATTTGCAATTCACATCACTCCACCCATCCGAGGCTGACTGACTCACAGTTGAAATGCTTTCGAAGAGCTCAGCATTTCACTGAATTAAACCTCATCCACTGCATGAAGCTTTCAAAGCATCAAAGTGGTAGGAAGCTGAGACCCACTAGCTGAGGTTCAGGATGCACAGACTTTGCTGTACCTGCTGACAGGAACTCAGATTATAGCCAAGCTAATGCTTTCAGGGGGTGCCAGAGCTCCTGTGTCCCCACTGCAGAAAAGCTCTCGGGGTAGCCAGGGCACACATCTATCCTGAATGCATTAGGTGTACTGAACATGCCTGGGTTAGGTGCAGGTCCATGTGGACATACACAATTCCTGGGGACCCTCCTGCTCAGGATACCCAACAGCTTCCCACGAACAAAAAGCCCATGCAACACTTACTTACCCCCACAGCTTCACCCACACAGACCTCTGGTGCATGCCAGGTTAGTGTTAGCCTTTGAAATCATGGTCTTGAATGTCCCAAGAGTCTGTGGAGGAACTGTACCCTCTGCAGAGCTTCCCTGGTTTTGAAGCCTTTTTTCCCTCCCAAGGAAAGGAAACTGTGTGCAGTGGCTGAAGACGATCACAGCATCCTGAATCCTCTTCAAACTGCTGCTTTTAACTACCCAAATAACTGCATCAGGATGTAAATATTTTTCTTTTTGCTTTTGTGGTACTTTACTGTTTGCATCTGGCTCGCCACGGCGCCACGCCTTCCTCTCCAGGACATTTGCCATTTGCTCTCCTTCTGAGGCAGGAGGAGGAATAGAGGTTTTTCAGACGTTTAGGCACATTCCTTCCTTCACCAGGTTCTTCCTTTGCCGATTGTTTAGTCTCAGCCTGGGGTTAGAACCCTGCAAAGTTCTATTGGGATCCAGGGTCTGGATCTGTCACAGATTATCAAACAAATCTCCAAGAGGCTGAAAGCTTGCTCTGCAAATACTTGTTCCAATGTTGGGGTTATGTTCACAAGCCAGAAACATCTTGCTTCTCTTTCCCTGCACAGCCTCAGAAATCATGGCAATTAGGTACTAATAGGAGTTCAAATGGACTTCAGGGAGCTCCATGGAGCGTCAGTATGAGCTGCTCAGGCTCTTGTACCGCTTCTTATCTCCACAGAGTACATTAGTCCCTGTTGTTGCCCATGGGGGCCAGCACAGGCC